GTGAAAAGACACATACTAAATATGTAATACACACGCGCACACACACACACACACATACATACATACATACATACATACGTACATGCATGCATACATACATACACACATACGTACATACATACGTACTACGTACATACTTACACATTTATGCATCTGGTGTTACTCTTGTTGCGATTGCCGTTTTGGAACTACGGCTCTTGTTCCAACTATGGTCTTTGCAAATCCTGCTGTTGCCAGAGGCCAGAGGCAACGCGAAGGCAGGTTCCAGCCTGCTGAAGGTGCCGAAATATTCGAACACAGCCTGTCCTCGGATCTCTGATGGCGTCCAAAGAAGCGGAGCAGGCAAAGGTCTGCCTGTAAAAGCTCTCTGCCGAGGTATGTCTGCCGAGAGTCGGTTCGCTTCTGAAATGGACGCGTCATTGAAATAGTACTGTGTCAAGTAGCCATTGACGAGCAACGCCAAGCCCATCTGTAGGAAGAAGAAGAGAACACATGCCTATAGTTTCATGCTGTGTCGGTTGGCTTCGAGCCTCTTGCGTTAACGGAGCAGACGCCCAACACCTGTCACCTGTCGGACATGGCATGTTGCATCCAAGACGCCCATGCTAGGATGGACAAGCTGCCGCTCAGTGCCGTTGTGATGATATACAGCGCATCCAGACCTTGGATGCGATGACTGTGGCATTGATGGTTCCTGACATGTCGCACACAAAAACAAGTCAACACCCCTAACTGCTAGCGGCTATTGCAGGTGCGGCGGTGGTGGTGGTGGTGGTGGTGCTGGTGGTGCTGGTGGTGCTGGTGGTGCTGGTGGTGCTGGTGGTGCTGGTGCGAGTGCTGGTGCTGGTGCTGGTGGTCGTGGCAGCAGTGGTGGGACTGACACACCCTACTCCAACATACTCCAACAACACCTGACACTTGAACACAGCTGGTCGTGGCACACTTACCAATCCGCGCTGAAGCCAAAGGGATCTTACGCCTGCCTGGATTCGCAGTTGCAGTACTTGAGATGAAGAGCAAGCACCCAAATTGCCATACTGTCGGCTCTGTTCCTCTTCCTCCGCCTGTTCCCGGTCATCCTCCGCATCGACTTCCACAGGTAGCAAGACCATCAGGAACACGTTCCGATCTATGCTGGATGACAACCACCATCAATACCTACACCATGCGCTTCGTCGACATCAACACCCTCATCATCACAGTTACTCCCATCCGAGTTTTCATTGTCCTGACTCCCACCTGTGCCAAGGCTATCATAATTTCCCCGTTCCTGTAACTTCATCATACTCATAGCGACTCTCATCACCATCCTCATCTACTTCCCTGTCACTGGTTGACGTTCAATCGAAATAGAAAACTACCAAATTCACACGCAGGCGCGAACATGTCGTTAGTTCTAATTGGCTTCAGCGCAATGGGACGGAGAAATGAGAAGGACGCAACTTCGTGTGGCTACTACAGTTACAGCATCGTTCATCGTGCAGAGACAAGTGAGATCACTGAGCCTGGCGCTCTTGATGGCCTGCATGAGCTGCACCAAGCCTTGAGGAATGGTTAGGGGTCCTTAAAGGGATCTATAAGGGTTTCTATAGGGTTTCTCTAAGGGTACTTGATGGGTAGTTCTTTAAATTCGGGTCCTTTTTTAAGGTACATGACATCAACAATGAGACAGCTTTAGGAGCTTAGGGAGCAAGCAGGGCACATGCCCGGGTATGAGACAAGCAGCGAAGTAGACGGACAAGCCGTGCAACTCGCAGCAGTGTTGCATCGACTGGCAAAATAGCACCAGCAGTAATGTCGATTAGCCAGAAAAGAATGATCACCAAGTCAACCCAGTTCCAGGCGAACCTCAGAGCGAGCAAGCAGCATAATCATGGAATGTTGTAAAGTGAGGTTAGGATGCGATATCTTAAGTCGGAGCTCGGACAAGTTGCTTGAAGAAGCTCCGCCGCTGACCGGCCAGCTTCAGCATGAGTTCTAGTACATAAACAAATCCGAACGCAAAGCCGATCCACACAAATGATTGCTCCGCCGATGTCCAGGAGGCCACATAGCCCGGATCAATTTTGCCAAAGTTGATTGATGCACCAACGGAAAGACCCTGCCATTGTGCTTCAATTGCCATCGCAATTGTGTTCAGAAATATTATGCAAGCAACCACGATGTCGAACATTGGATGCCTGGTGATCCGCGTTACGGTGAACCAGAAGTCGGATGGCATTTCTATCGCTGTGGATTCGAACAAGCCCGATTTCTGGATTCCAGACTGTGACGACACAACCGGCAGCCAGGCTGTTCGGTTTGCGGGAACAGGCCGTGCAGCAGGAACGTCACTTGCGGTCACTGAGGAAACAGATGGTACGTCATCTGGTATGCTGCTGTCTCGTTTCTGGTCTTTCTCTGGGCCCTGGCACCCTTCGAAGACATCCAGTCTCGCGAGCAAACGCTGATTCTCATCATGCAGCCGCTGGAGATCCGCAGCATGCACTTCCCACAGCTTCCTGAGTGTCTCGGAAAATGCTTTGGTGGCACCTGAAGGTTCGTTGGATTCCAGAGTCTGTGATGGAGACGGCAAGGTCATCCGGCAAATGCCACATTCACATTGCTCTCACCAAACTGTGTGCACTGCATACGCTGCGGGAGGAGTATCCAGACACATGCAGCTACGTTGCGCCTGACATGCAGAGTAACATTGCACCTGGCAGCCTAGCAGGGCCTAGCATGGTAACGCATCAAAACAGCTGCCTCGGTCTCTGAGTCGACCTCTGCCAGGGTGACTGCCTCATCAAGCGATGGAAAGCCACAAGCCAATGGATTTCCTAAATGGATCCCTGTGATCCGGCCGTATCCGTTCTCCCGTAGCTTGAGCTTTCGCTTCTGCCAAGTCCCCAGCAGCATCGCCATAGGGACCATTCAGAGCATACCAAAGCGTGCGGACATTCTCTTGGAACCTCATGGCGTTTCTCTGATGTCTTCGCATCTCGGAAATCAAGTACATCTTCTAGAACTGTTGCAATGTTGCTATGCAAAGACCTCCTTTTTACCGCCTGCCGTGCCGCCAAAATCCTTTGGAATGGGAGTTGATGGATCTTACAGCTGCGTTCTTGTCCGCAAGCGGGCGATCGAAGTTTCTCCGGCGGAACTTCCTGCGACAGGCGCGAGTCTTCAAGCTGCGGTCCATGACACCCATCAGCCTGAAGGTCAGGTGGCTGCCTCTCCTAAGCCTCGACTGCTGGACTGCATGAACCGAGGGCTCCTCGAGGGTGGGCGAGCCTTTGCCAGGGCGGCTGCTGCCTGCAAGGGCAAGAAACACATCCTACATCTGGTTAATGCCGCGGGTTGGCTGTCGGAGTGTAGGGGACCACAGATCGTGGTCGACCATTCTTCCTGCCTGTTTGTGGGATTTTCTTTAGAAGCTGACTCTTCGGCCACTTTCGCGGCTGCCCCTTTGCTTTGCAGAGTTGTTGAGCTCTCGGCCTTGTCCGGCTCCGGCAGCTCCTTCACGTTCAGGACGAGGCGTGTCCGATCCACGATAGAACTCCTCGCACAAGAGCCCATGGTCGGTGTCAGATCGTTTCAGGACAGTTCGGGTACAAGATTCTGCAAATGCATGCCACAGAAAGCTGAGGAGTGTCTTTGAGACCCGCCAGATTTTGTTTTATCATCCTTGCTGAGTGAGAGAGTATGAGACGACGAAGGGCCTTGCTTTGCTTTGCCCTAACCCTGACCGCCAGCACCAAGGTCCAACCAGTGCTGCAGCACTGCAGGCAAGGCACGTGGGGAAAGGTCCGATTTCGCGAGCCAGCTCTATGCCTCAGTGCCACAGCTCTTTTCTGCAGGGTGCCACCTGGCCCTCATCCTAGTCCTAGCTCCCCATTCTGCTGTAACTTGATAGCCTCAGCATGTCGTGCTCCTGGCGTTTGTTATGCTGGCCATGTTACCAGCAAGATGGAACGCCACAAGCCCGAATCGATGTCGATTTCGCTTGAATGGCTAGGAGGTTGGCAGGCCTTCAGAAATACTTTGAACAGCTACCGATTACTGACTTGAATGTTTCGAGAAGTCAAGGTATGGGCGTTGACAGCAACAGCAATCAAGGCAGGACGTGTTCCAAATCACCCCAGACCACTCCCAAGCAAGACTTAATCGTGTTTCAATTTTCACTGAACAGCGTCCGTCCACGAAGCTCGAATCGCTGAGCTCAGAACCGCTTCGGCCTTGAAGCCAAATCAACGTCGGAAAGCCTGTGGCAGACAAGTCCGTAAGGTTATGAAGTCGTAAGAAGTCTTGGCTCTGACGGCAGTCAAGTCTCGAGAGATGCCAAACTCGGCCATGATATCGTCGTTCTTGCGGCCATCGACAGTGACAATCCGAGCAGCACGGAGAAGGACTTGCGCAGCCCCTTCCAGCTGGTCCCTTGCACCAGGCAACTCTTACACCTCTCGTGCTCCTGCACACGCCAGGAAAGTGCAAGCTTCACGCCTGAATCTCAAATGTCGTGGACTCTGCTCGTCAACCACTGCAAGCAACAAAACCACGTCGCTCTCCTAGGCCGACTGGGTGTTTGGGTTCCCCCTTCCGACTTCTCGGATGCATCCAAAGAGCTGCTTCCCTTTCGACTCGGAGCTGGCCCGATGAGAAGCTCTGGATCACTCCTGGCAGGCGACGCCGACGCACGCCTCTCCTTCTGGAGGGGTACAGTCCCGAGCCGTTTCCGGCCGTCCTGGAGTGACACCTTGTCGAGTAGGGCTGTAGTCTTGCTCCTTCTCGAGCTCTTCCAGCAGCGCCTGGCAGGCACATTGCCTGTCAGAGCTGCTCGACCCGCTTGTTTATATTTATATATATATATAATAATAATATATATATATATATTAATAATAATAATAATATAATATTGAAGTTCGATTTTGGCAGTTTGGGGCGCCCGACCTCTCGGAGGCCTTGTATGTCAATGGCGGAGATGACTTTGTGATGGCACCTGGTAACGACTCCACTCTTCTGCTAATGCCAAGACAGCAATCATGCTGCCTTTCGAGCACCACACACGCTTGGAGCTGCACTGCCTCTGGTCTAGCTCCTCCATCAGCTTCCGCCCTTAGTAACGAAGAGCAGTCTCAACGGTCTCTGCAACACACGAGGACCAGCACGATCAATGAGAACGAACAGTCCGAAATATTCAAGACCGAAAGACCGATGTCGCCGGTGTCACCGCTACGAAGCACTACCAGTAGCATTTTGCACACTTTTCGAAGTCCAACGAAGGCATATGTTCCAAACGGGGAGCCTTGTTTGGTTCAAGTGGGTCCCTCACCAGGCTTGCTGAAAGGATCTGACGGGACATCTGAACAGGCAATCACTTATACTCACCTCTTCGCGGAAGATTCGGGAGAGCCTCGTTGGATAGGAAAGAGCTCCACCCACGGTCGGGCTCGCGTTCGTATCGATTCAGCAAACTTCATACGTACCCTATGTGGCTATCCTTCATCTCTACAAGCTGATATCGTCCAAGCAGCTGCCGAGTCCATAAACCCACATCAGCATGTCCTGCAAGGGCGGCGAAGCGCAACGAAGGGATGGCAGAGGTTTGCTATGCCTGCATGCCAAGTCCTTGGAAATTCCGTCTGCGTACGTGTTGTTCTCGTCCTCTAGGATTTGCCTCCGTGATTGGCCAGAAAGCTAACGACAATGCTCATGAAACCTCTACTGCTGGAAGCCTGACTCGCGATACATCTCTCGATCTGAGGTAGTCAGTGACACCGTCCACATTTCGGAGCAGCAAGTCCACCTGCAAAGCTTGAACCCAGCACAAATGCCTCGCAAGCTTACATGTGGTGAGCCCTTGCCAGCCCAATCTCAGCTGAGCTGCTTTTCCCCAGGATGGCCAGCGTTGGGCCACCCCGAACCTTACAGCCAGGTGGCGTCGACTAAAGAAGTCTTGTCATGGTTTACCTGGGTTTACCTGATGCTTTGTGCTGAGGCACTTGTCCGGCTCATCGAGCTTAGCATCTTGACGCAACAGCTTCTGCCCGGGATTCGAGATCCGTGTGCGCAGGGCCGTCCCGCCACCTTTTCTGTGCTGGAGAGATGTATCAGTACAGTCCACATCCTAGAGTCCTCGTTAAACATGACCGTCGAATTGGCATGGCGCATCATGGCGCACCGAGCCTGGAGCTGACATCATCTCGTTGTAGAGGTTGCGAGCAGGATCTGCGTGCTCATCCTCTGGAGCCAAAAGACTTGCGCTGTCAGGACATGCTGGACCCTGTGGAGCGTCCTCGTACTTTGCCATTCCTGCAACCAGATTCCCATTTCTGCAGCCCTCAGGCCCCCAGGACTGGGATCAGGCCTGCATCGTCTTGGTACCAGCGGCGACCACCGATGTTCTTCGGAGGCAGCCATCTGGCGCCCTGCTGAATGGTCCACGTCATGTTGGTACCTTCGCAAAGCTGCTTGCTCACTACAAGAGCTGTAAGCCTCCCTGCTTGGGCCTTCCGGTGGTTCCATAAACTGGGCCCCTGCGTTGTAGCACACCTCCATGACTTTTTCAAGTGCAAGCATGAGAGATAAAAAAAAAAACCATGTCTGCCGCTGAGTCGACAGATTCTGCCAGCCTGCTGGAGCCACTGGGTGCTCTCCTTGGTAAAGTTCTCAGGCAGCAGATGCCCCCCAACGAAGACGAAGGGAGTGCCCACTTGCTCGGCGTCCGCCATCCTGTCGGATGCGCAGCGGCGAAAACGGAATCGCTAGGCAGTAGCAGAAAAGGGAGCAGCTGCGGATCCTCCGGTGGTCTTGCCGCAACTGCTCCAGCAAAGCATCGCCGGCCGAGCCCAGTCGGTCCAGCTCGAGTAGATCAAAGCGAACACAAGCCTCCTCCAAACACTTCTTGGCTTCCTCAGCGGCTTGCCGTGCTCAGACAACCTAGCTTCTAGTTGTCAGCGGTTCCTATGGATGTGTGAACACGTCTCGAATCTCTTCATGAATTCCAAGCGAGAGACTCGCAAGCTGGCCCCCTCGGACTCGGAGATTAAGACTACCGGGCTCTTGGACAACTCCTGGGCTTGACGATTGAAGTAACAGCTTGCTCGGGCGTTCTCCTGCCTGCGCTAACCAGTCTGATGCCCAGTCGTCTGCTGCCCTCGACTGCAGGACCTGCACTGCTTCCACACTGTTCTACCTGCTCCTGGCTCTAGGACGGTGTCTTTCTCAAACTTTCATCTTGAAGAACAGATGCCTTTCTTTGAGAGCCTTGCTTCGGGCTTCTGCTCCACAGCCTGGCGAAAAAGCACATCTGCTTCGGCCCCTACCTGTTTCTCCCTATCGTCTCTCCACACTCGGCATGTTCTAGCCTGGGCCGAACTCCGGCCGTGCAGAAGCAGGCAGCGGAGGCCTTGGCATACGACGGCAACGGAACTTGCCATTGCATCTTGTAGCTGCCGCTGTGTCACGCAAGCCACGGCACAAAGCCAGACCACGGACAGGCGTGGCACCCGAATCCTTGAGAACTGATCTTAGCACTTCGTAACCAAACATACTATCCTGCAATTTGCTCGGTCCTGGTGCGGCTGCTAGCGCGACCCCACGGCATCACAGTAGCTTCAAAGCGGCCCCGTGCTGACGCTTCTCGGCTTGCTGACTGCTGACTGGTCCGACTAGTTCGGAGTAGAGCCCGGGCCCCGCCGTCGGATAGGAGCCAGCATAGGCATAGACTCTAGGCCGGTCATCTAATGGCTGACGGATAACGCGGCTGGATCTGCATAAGTTGGTGCGATGCGCTTCGTTCGCCCTGGTAGCGTTTGTAGTATGGGCCCAAGGGATCGGAAAATGCAGCCGTGGTTCTCAGACGGCCTGGATCCCTTTGAGCCGGCACAGTATGGAGGCACGGAGCGACATTCACTGCATCTCACGCACATGCGGCGTCAATCCTTCGTCGCTAGCCACTTAAACCAGAAGCTGAGTTGCTGGGCATCCCGACCCAAGCTCTCTGCATCGCGCTGCCAGCTGTGGCAAAGTCAGCTGGCCACGGCTTTCTGGATCCTGCTCGAAGCAAGCTTACAGAGTTTCCTGAAGCAGCTTCACGCACGCACGCAACAGGGACGAGAAGAAACTAGGAAGTCTTGAGACATCTCGGGACCAGGGTTTCATTGCAAGCACCACAGAGCCGCAGAGCCCTTAAACACAGGCCGACAAACCATCTCTCAACGAAAGTCGGGTGGTAACATCCCAACGGACCCCAACGGCACATGACGTGCCGAGGCAACCAACTCCAGTGCAAGCGGTCCAGAAGGTAGCGCCTTGGATCGCTTACAAAAGCGTTAAAAATAGGGCGCTTCTCAAGCTGCAGCCGGCTATGCGCGGGACCAGGCCCGAGCATAGTTGCCTCCTGGTGACTAGAGCGGGGACATGTCGGAATGCGTGAATGGCTCAGGCGAGCCTCTTGCAAGAAGCATCTTCTTGAACTCACCTTTGGCTGGTGGCTACAATCTAGAAGCTTCGTGACACCACATGCCATTTCTTATCAGCTCAGGCCCTCACCAATGATTTTGTCGCCGGCTGGGCCGATCGCACTGCAATCGAGAACGAGCAAGACTGATCGATGCCGATTCTTGTCAGTACGCATCTCGCAACAGTTCCAGGCCTGGCAATCGACTTGGGCATGGCAGGCTGTGCTCTCGCTTTTGGAGGTGTCTTCGACTGGGGCTCAGGTTCCTTCAGCTCTGGCGGTTGCACTGGAGCTCTCCATGCTGGGAGTTTGAGATGGAGAGGCGAGAGGTTACAGTCCTCGAAGCTTCTGATATTCTCCAGCCAGAAGTTGTCATCCTGCGCTATCCTGATGAGCTGTGCCCGCTGGTGCGCCTGTCGAGTGTCTGCGTGCAATAAGCTGTCAAGATGCCTACTGCTTTCTTATTGTTACTGTTATGATTATTGTTTTTATTATTTTTAATGTTTTTGAATGTAGACTCAGACTGACGGCGCGCGCCTCGCTGGCTGCAGAGTTGGTGCTGCTGGCTGCCATGCGCTTCTGCGCAATGAACTTCGCCGTTGAGTCCTCGGGCGTAAGGCGTAAGGCAATTGAACGCTAAGTACAGGAAGGAACCCTGACCCGTCATGTCTCGGCAACACTGAAGATGAAGCTGAGAAGGCAGCCTGCGTTCTCTTTACAGCAGCAATCCACTCTTTCCTGCCAGACACTTTCTCGGAACTTGGTTAAAGGCAGACCAGCGCTGTGGACAGCCCGTGGTTCCTCTGCAATTGGGCTTGCTCTTTTGCTGCTGCTTGAGCCTGCTGGAGCAAATGGCTTCCTGCAGCCAGGACATGCTAGGATGGCTGAATCTTTGCACAATGGCCCCCAAAGTGCCCTGCCTCGTACTTGTGAAACCGATTCTTCCACAGGTTTCTTCTTCACCCCGGCCGCTAGGGCACGAGCCTGCTGGATCTCCCGGCGCGCTGTGCCTCAACCCGCAGCTGCTAGCACTGAAGAAGACATGAAGCTACTGCCACAAACTTGTGCTTCAGAGATGCTGCACTTTGTTGATGCTGCTGGGCTGGAAGCTCGCACATACCTCGGCAGTGCGCTCTGCACTGCAGACGAAAAGCCGGTTGTCTGCAATCCTGCGTTGCGTGCACTCTTGGGCTCGCAGAATTGGTGCGCAGCTTGTCTGCCTGACCACATAAGTGGCAGCGCCGCGGGTCATTGCACCGTTTCCTGAAAAACCTGCAGGCCTTCTTCTTGGCCTCGGCTGTGAGAGGTGGTGTGTTCGACCTTCGCGTGCGTGCTCCTAGCAGATTTCACTTCCCCAGCTCAGCTGCTCGACTTCTGCCTTATGCATCTGGACTGTGCACTGAAGGGTCCGTCCTCTCGCACTGCAGTGCGAAGGCCCCGTGAAAGGCTGAGGGGATGCACTCCGAGAGTTCGGTCGAATCTGGCAGAGGCACAGCGAAGGTACTGCATGGGAACAGAGGCACAGAAAGGCGCAATTGGCCTTGGGTATCACCCGTGGCGTTGCTGAGGCCGTGTCACCTGCATTCCAGGGGAGAACAGAGGAAAGAGGGCTCCAGCACGCACATCACTGCAGAGGCGAGCAAGGAGCGGCTGTCATAAGCAAGACATGGGCAGCATGCGCACGAACAACTTACCGGCAGCGTGTGTGCCGTAGCCCTACTAAGGAAGCCGTGATGGATGTCCTCATACAGGCTCGGCATTTTTTCTGAGGAAGCAAAGAAAACCGGAACACATGAAGGCAGAGGCAGGAAGCTAAAACAACAGGTCATTTCCGGCAGGGAAAGGTTAGAGGATGCACAAGGAAGACCGAGAACACCAAGATTCCAACGAAACAGTGAAGAACCAGGGCAATTGCCGACCAATCTGTTGTGAATGACATATTCCAAGACATTTTGTATCACATCCGAGTGGCATTTGTTCGCAAGGATTTGGATGCAAACCTCACGATGTTGCATTAGCCTGATACTCTCAAACCACTACCTTAACCGGTCTTCGACCATGCAACAACCTAAGCTCTAAGCCCAACCCTATGCACAATCCTTTAGACCTTTGCTTTCATGTGGAGCTCAAAACTCCAGGCCTGTGCGCTTCGCAGTTGCCGCAGCTACCTGGCCAAGACGCACCAGTCTTCTCAGTCTTCTCAGCACTGAAGGACAATGCTCCCCGGCCTCTCTGGGGCTCGCCGATCTGAGATGCTCGGGCCTCCGAGCGATTTGCTGCAGATTACAGTCACAACAGCACAACGGATCACCCAAAGAAACCCTTCGGCATCAGGCCTCGTCGGTGGGCTTTCACTCGGTTGATGTCGTGGGACACGCCTGACAGGCAGGCTGCCGCCTCCACCTTAGAATAGTGGATCGCGTCATCAGGGACCCGTCTGACCCTAGACCGTTGGTGCCAGTAAGAGGATCACTGAGAGATGGCTGTACATGCATGCAAATGCTGCCACCGGCTCGTTCGACGGTTTCTGGTCAGGTCGACTACTCCGCGCGCTGGCGATGTTGACTGGATGTTCATTCTTCCTGCTTAAGCAACTCTGACCTGGCCAAAGCAAGCTTGAAGGCGACGTTGGAATTTGATGGAATTTGTTACTGTAATGACAATTTGTCCAGATTGATGAAGCCAATGTGCATCTGGACATCAACAGCAATAACGACGACAGCACCAGCAGCTTACAAGAAACCATCGCCAGGAAACCGAAAAAATTGCCAGGCCACTGCTAGAGCTCGAAGCCCTCCGTTCCACTTCGGCACCTGGCAGCAACAATCTGACAATAAGAGGAACCCTTAACCCCTGCAACTCCAAAGCCCTAAGCTGCCGCAACCCCCAGGGCCTGTTCTTTGGAGGCCTCCAGGAAGCTTCGCCAGGTTGGGCTCCGGTTGCTGGGCAAACTCGCTCATGGGAAGTCATCCCGAAGCGTCGACAAGCACCAAAACCAGTGCAGCTTTCTAGGCTATCTCCTGTAACTGAGCACGGCCGTACGTGACGCGCGCGCGCGCGCGGCATCCTAGACTTGTCTTCGCCAAGTCATGGTATAATGCGAAGTTCAATTTGAACAGAATCGACGGCTTGTCCTTCACATTCAAAGCTACTGATCAGCTATGTCAAGTGTTGGTGGTCATGGAGAGTCGCCTGCAACTGGGAGGCAGCAGCTTCCGGGAAGAATGAATGCGCATCACTCCTTGTCATAGAACAGCCGAGCAACCCTGGAAAAGGCAATGTTACTACATGGCTTCATCAAAGACAACACCTTGCAACATGCCTGCAATGAAGGGCACCGTGGCCAAGAACTGGGGAATAAGCAAACGTTGATACATGTTCCCTAGGTCCCCGATTGAGCGAGAAAAGAAGCGGCAAGGACTTTTCCAAACATCTCGCAAGGCCTCTGCTCAGGCTTTCCCTCACTTCCTCAGTAGGCAGTTGTCGAAGCACAACTTCTGCAAAGAATATCTGCGCAATGCTGTGACGGAGCTGGGTGAACAACTTGGCTGGCTTTTTCGGACGGTATGTTCTGCTCAAGTGGGGGCGAGGATACCTCATCACATGACAAGAGAGCCTCTACCGCGAATTGCTGCGGCCGAGCCTGGTCTCGTCTTTCGGGGGGTCTTCGTCGGGCCCCAACTCCTTGCCTGTCCTGTTTGCTTTCTCGGGCTAGGGCTGGTAGCAGGAGCAACAGGAGGTAAGTCCTGTAGAAATGTAGCCTGCGATCCACATCGGTAATCATCGTCTTGAAGCGAGAGCGCTTCGGCTCGTAGGGTGGTCGCCTCACTTATGGAGTCTCAAGGCATCCGATGCACGACTGGGGCTCTCAATCGCCAAGTCACTTCACTCCGTACTTTGATCGAGAACTCCTGAGTTGCAATCGGCACCACGGTGCTGCACACATCTTGTCGAGGAGTCAGCACAAGGCTCTGGGGGATGGACTTGCGATTCTTGACAGGAAGAAGGTCGTAGACTCCGCGCATGCATGTGTAGTGGCATCCTGCCGAACCATGACATCTGTGCGATTCAGAAGCGAGGAGTGCAAGCTGCTTGCAGCACATGCCAGCGGCTCCGGGCACATCAGCCCGTTTGCCGCCTCTGACCATAACGACGGAGTGAACCTGGCCATCAACGCATGTCTTGGCCCCAAGAGCGAATTGGCAAGGCTATAGATCCCCGCCGACACTTTGAGGGGCCTGCAGGTTGTGGCCGATGCCTGGAATATAGGCCTCGAGCAAAACGAATCGACTACGGCGACGGTGAATGACGGATACCTTGAGTTCGGCTGATTTCGGCTCCTACCCGACCTGTCCTAAGTAGAACTCTAAACCTTAAACCCTAATCCACTTACTGTGCAAATCGGCCTTCACCACGCGTCCGTTCGAGAGCCGGACATATGCAACCTTGGCTGCTTCTTGGTTCAGCTGCATGCGCCGGCTACCCAGAGAGCCCAATACCCCCTCAAACAAGGTGCACACCTTGAAGCAAACGAGGCGTCATGGTATGATTTTAGGACATTTTAAATCTATTCCTGGATTGAAGGGTACTGGGCTCTTTGGGTGGTAGTAGTTCCATCCAGCCGCCTTCCGAAGACCAGAATTAGGCTTCCTCGGGAACTGCACGAAGACCTTCATGCAAGCAAAATACAATTGTAGCTCCGAAAATCTCCGAACACCGACTTAGACAGACCCGGTGGCCTTGGTGCACACGCCTTTCCGGTTTCCCGCCCCCTCCAACCACTTCGACTTGGAATTGAAGTCCCAGTTCGGGATCTCAGCTGAAAGCAGACATCAAACAGGTGGTTGAACGGTGAGCCACATCCACCTTGGAGCCGCACCATCTTTGGCCTGCGCTTGTAAAAGAGGCGCCCGTGAAGGTTCCTGTGCAGGGGCTGGGCACCTTTTGACAAAACGCCAGGCTGTCTGCCTTCGATCCAAATTCGAACTGCCACACCTGGTGCTGAAGCCGCGTCTGCCCTGAGAATTGCTAGCCACAGGGGGGTTGAGCACGGTGAAGCGAGCCATCGACAGCTCGCGTCTCTGACAGAGGGAAGACCCTGGCGCTGTGAGCGCATTGGGCACGGCAGTGAATGAGGGCAGCCCTCGCCCTGGAATGCAGGGTTTGAATAATTGACGGGCCACCCGGTTGCCAATCTGGTAACATTGGCTGGCAACTCGAGAGAGCATGGCTCAGCACCCGCTGTGTGGATCCATAACCCTGCTCTAGCTGGTAGGTGCTCTGAGGAGCATAACTAAACTTGCAACTGTAACAGTTTGAGTAGTTGATCGTAGAGTGACTTCCTGCTATGTTGCTGATCTGAACCATTTGCGACCTGTTCAGAGTGCTCGTCTCAGTCACTGAAGACTCCACAAGGGCAGCAGCAACAATCTTTCGTCACTTCAAAGTTGTTGCTCAGGGCTTTCTAAACCAGACAGCCCTTCTGAAACTGGATGAAGACAATCCTCAACCAGCACCCATCTGCATGATGCAACTGGCTTGACCTTGCCAGCTCTGGCAGGCCTCGTATGATTCCAGACAGCATGTGCCGAGCTGGACGCCGCTGTACACTAACCTCATAAGGCTCCCCAAAAACCGTGCGAAAGCATCGCCTCTTTTTTTTACCTGAGCGGGTCTAAGACGCCTCGTTGCCACAGACCGGGCCCGACCCTGCGCACGTCCACGACGAGGCGCAGAGAGCAGAGCTCTTGGCTCTCAGAATCCTTCAACGCGGAGTCCGCGGAGTCCGCGGAGTCCGCGAGCCGCACTTCCAGCAGCCCAAGGCTCTCCAGAGCCGAGGCCGGTAGCGCGTCCGGGGGCACGCCGGACACGAAGAGCTCCACACTGCGAGAGGACGCGCCGTCCTCCGCATCCTCCGCACTTTCCTTGATGCGATCCACAGGCAGCAGCACTGCAACCTGGTGGTGCACGAGGTCTGCCAGGAACTTCACCTGCCACTGCACCTTTGGCAGCGGCACCTTTGATCGCAGATCGATCTCAATGCGGAAGGGTGCATCTAGAGCACAGACAGTTGGATCGACAGCAACACGAACCACCTGACAGTGCAAGCACCATGCATGAACAAGCATATGGTGTCTGGTTTGCCACGAAATGGCCTCTATGTCAGCAGCAGTGGCAGCAGTACGCTGCCTCTCGGCCTCATAGTAGAGCACACAAGACGGGGGAAGGCGTCATGCCGCTGCAAGCATGTCCAGAAAGCGCACAGCTTGAGAACCAGGCCATTGCCTGAAGTCTCGTCTCGGGTCATTGCTCTGTAAGCTACGCATGCCGCAACTCGAGCAGCTGACAGAATGAGTCACGATGATCTTTGGGAGCGTACATTAGAACGGCTTCTGCCGCAGCAAGCAGGTAGGTAAGGTTTCACCTTCATTCGCTTTTCATACAATATGTCGCATGGCCATGGCACACCTCCTGGCGGTTTTCGCAGCAATGAGCATGCGCGGCTGCATGTGCATTAACAGCTGGCCGCCCGAGGCTGCAATCAGAACTGGATGCTAAAATGCTCACAGCCTGAATGCTCGGGGTACCAGATGCCGCGGATGTTTGAGCATAGTCCAGCCACCAGAACCAAATCTTGCTTACAATCGCATCCCTCGCACATACCTTGCACGACACCATTCGGGCCAGACAATGCTACACAATGGGCTGTGTGAAAGCGGCGGCAGAAGCTAAGCAAGGCTAGAACCTAGTCCGAAACAGAAACTGGAGATGCGAGAGATGAGATTCACTCGAAGACATCCTCTACAGGATCTTCGGGAAGCTCGTTCGCCTGTGTCGGCTCGCGAACGGAATCGGCTCGCAGACTGAATGCAATAGAAAGCAGCACTTTGATGCACGTGCGGCTCTCATTGCGGGCCTGCTTGCGCTCTTCTCTCTCTGCTTTGTCGTTGAGCTTCTTTACCTCTGGAACGAAAGGTTGCAGTTGTAGCTGGGCAAGGTGAAGCAGGCATAGCCTAGCATAGTTCTGCAGCACTCCCCGCTTATCAAGGAAACCGTGATTTGCACATTCTCATGGTAGCAATCTCGTTTTGCTGCTGGACTTGGGAGATGTCTGGTTTGGTTGGTACCGCATGGTTTGGCACCCAAGCTGAAAAAGTCAGGATTGCCCACCTGGTCACAGTTTCTGCTGGGCGTGGCTTTGTCCAAACAGTGTCATGTGGACATGGTTGTCGTCTGTCGAGGGCTCATCAGCTAGGGGCATGTCAACGTTCTTGGTGTCGAAATATCAAGTGATGTTGTGTCTCTTTTCGATGCGAAAAGCTAAGATTGCTACAGCTTAGCTGCTAAATCCTTGCCGACCCGGGAGTCTTCGCATTAGCGCGTTGCTCCGATGAGCTTCAGCTCCTCCAGGGGCCCTGCCTTTCTACCGCACCGCAAGCCCCAGAAATCCGATCATATGCAAGCCAGATCAGTCCAAGCCACATAGGGGTTCTTGAGCAACTTCCTTGCCTGTACCAAAGGGGCTGTCCGCTTGACCCAGCAACGAACCCCACAGCATCCACTTCAAGGTTGCCGCTTGCGAGGCTCTGCCAGCCTGAACCCGCAAGGCCGTGGGCGACATGTAGTGAGGGTTCAGGTACCTGGCAAGGAAGCATAGGCCAGAAGTCTTTCCTGGTATCGGAGGATCAAACTTAGGGCTCACAAGGTTTGCCCGTTGAAGCTTCCACCCAAGATTCTGATTGGGTCCAGCACGAAGCGAGGGCCAATCTCGGTCAGGACCTGCAGTGAGATGCTTGTCTGATCGGGGCCACCAGGTCAGCAGCTGTCAGCAGCCTGCTTCTCAGGCTTGTTGTTGTCCTCCGGCGTTTCCGGCGAGATTTGGTAGTGCCTGAACCTGAGTGCTCAATCTTCGGAAGACTCGACTTCTTAGATGCTTCGGGACGGAGCCAAATCTTCTTGTCCAGCCTTGGTGTGCTCGACAGCTGCCGCAATGAAGCTGCGAAGGCCATCCAAGTGCTGCTCAGCAGCCAGTAGAAGCACATGATGTGATCATGGAACGGCTTGCTCTTGGGATGATTTCGCGGAGTACCAAAAACCTGGTACAGAACAGCACAGCCTGGAGAATCTGGCTGCCGGTTTCCCCAAGTGGCCTGGATAAACAAGCTTTTGACAAGCTTCAGGTATGACACCTCACTGAAGCTTTTGTCAAAGTACCTGCCAGTCCAACGGGCAGGTGAGGCACAGTCTGAAATTCCACTATCTGCGAAGAGTCACATTATCGGCCGGGAGCCCAAGAGGCAATTCCCAGCCTTGGCCAGTTGAACGGGTCAAGTTCCTTCGGCGAAGGAGACTACCGAGCGGGAGACTAGTCTGACCTCCTGCGTAGTATGGATGTTCAACACCTGGCACAACTCCGCACAACAGCAGCGCGACACACTTGCAAGCCGCAGAGCTATGAAGAATGAGCCTGAAACTTCATGGTCGGGCCAGAGGGCACTCGGCCGACCCAAAGGTACCTTCAGGGGCAGCACCTGCATCCTATTCATAGCAATTCTGTACTGACAACCCCCAATTTGCGCTCTAAGTGGCGAAAAGCACAACCGTGCTCATTCAACGTCTTGTACAGTTCGCGATCATCGGGAACTGAAAAACTCCAGCCGCAGGCTTCATGCTAGTCTCGCAATTCGACAGCTTGCCCATCAAATCCATCAAAATCTAAAGCCTCGCAGTGCCCTCTCAACTTCCGATGTCCAAACAGCCCTTCAGGCGCACAAGTCTTCTCGTTTTCGAGCTTCGAAGAACACGACATTGTTGCAGTTCTTCAGCTCGCAGATCTGCATAAGCTTCGCTGGTGGCCATGAACAACATCCGCCCTTGCCGCGAATTCAAGCCTCATTGATCTCGTTGAAGTTTGATCGTTTCTCAAACTTAGGTTCCTGGCCATCGCAAACTTGAGCACATAAGCATCTGTTCAACCGAGAATTCAGCAAGGGTGACGGATTTGTGGTGGGGTAAAAGCTTGCGAAGGTCGTCGCACAAGTGGCGAAACCTCCAGTCAACACGAACCATGCAACAAAAACACTCCAGACAAGGTTGGTCCCAGTACTCGTCGACACGACTGCCAGTCGCTCCAGAGTGTCCCGGCCTTGCTGTGACTCCGCGGCTGCAGAACACAAGCGTTCGCTGCTTGTTCCGCCATCTGGTGTCTTTCTGGATATACCTGCGTGGCTACTTGTATCGCAGGAGAGAGATGGAGAATGCCCCTTTTACATGAAAAGCATGTCGTGCTATTCGTTCCTGCACTTCCCAATGCCCTGAAGTGACCTTTGCTTCACATCACGTCTGCTGCCAAAGGCACGCAGCATCAGCCATGAGGTACCTAGCCCGGCAACCACGGAAGGGATTGGAGCATGTGATAGCATGTGCTACAAAACTCACGATTCACGCCCCAGCCGGGCAAAGCACGGGTCTGGCTTCGCCGTGGCGTCGGCCGCCTGCATCCGATTAGCTCGGGTGTTGGGCATGTGAGGGCCTAGAACGGCACAAGCCAAGGGTAGACTCTTTGACAGAAGCCGCCCGAAAGGTGCGATGTCAATGCGATGCATCGTTGCTACGGGCCCCGCTGGCCATCCCCCTCCGCATCAGGGGTTCCTTCCGGAAGCTGCTCAGCTCTGTCTGGCAAGGTGGGGCCCAGCACGACTACGACCAACACCGCCGCGATCGCTTCCTTCGCCACATCGTCGGGCGGCGCTCTGCACCACAGCGTCCGCCAGCGTCGGTGCGAGCAGTACAAAGTGGAGGCCCTGCTGGTGTTCGCTTTAGTACCAGAACGATCTCAGCTGCATGGATGGGATGTAAAACAAGTGATGAGCCCCGGCCTAAGCACTGCCTTGGAATCCGTGCATAAAGCTGCCAAGCGAAAAAACTGGGGCCGGGGCCCCTGCTGCAAAGGCCGCTGTGTTCGCTGCTGGAGCTGGCCGAAGATTGCATGGTATGGCGAGCAGGCAAGGTCCGTATCATTGACCATAGACCAAACTTGCCAGCCACTGGCACTTCCCGTGAGTGCAGGCTGCGCTGGGTCTCTACAGCTCCTCAGCACGCAATCCCCGGACTCCGCGTCTGCGCGTCCAGGTGAGAAGTTCACCGTGTTGCAGCGCTGACGCTGTGTGCAGCTGCGTTTGCAGTCTTCAAGCGACGTCCCGTCCCCATGCTGCAGGTACTCGCAATCCACACCTAAGGCCACCTGGTCCTTGGCCCAGGAGAGCCACGAGTTGGAGGCGCTGTCGCCCTCTTCGTTTCGGCGTTTTCGGCCCCAACCCCGGTGGAAGTCGAAGAAGCAGGCGGCTTCCTCCAGGTTTTGCTTCATCTTGGCGATCCTGTCCAGCGGAATGCTGCGCAGGTAGCTCAGGAGCTCCGGGCCGACCTTCTCCTCCGGCCACTTGATGCTCAGGGCCTCAGAGCTCTGCTTTTTACAGGCTTCTCCTTCTTGAGCAGTGGCTTAGTGTTAAAGTGCCGAAATCAGGGGCCGCGGCTGGCCAGTCGACCACATTCTGGAAGGGGACATCCAAGAAGTCGGATATGATTACAGGAATACCTTCAAGGCCAGCACTTTCTCACCGTCAGCTCATGGGTCCACCACGACATGTTACTAGGCGAACAATCAGAAAACTCAGCTCGGCAAGCGAGACACAACCAAAGAAGAAGCTCTCGTAAAGGTGAATAGTCCATGCCTGGCACAGGAATCTGTTCTTTCCATTGCTTGATCAGCAAGGCAGCCATCAGCGCAAGCCGTTTGCATTTTTAGGTGCCGTACCGAAGAGCCACGAGGAACCAAGCAGAAATGAGTTCTTCCCATCCCTGCAAGCAGTCCGGTTCGCAAGCAGTGATGGCAGGATCGCACAGCAAAAGAAGGAACTAAGAATAAGAAACGAAACAGCCATTTCTTTGGCCCAGGTGCTCTGGAAGAAGTCCGGCACAGGACCGCCAACGCTGCAGTCTGGTATGCCAGTAAAAGACTCCAGGATTTGTGTCCGCACCTGTCGAGGTCGACATGGGTAGCACTCTGGTGGGGTTGGTCGGCAGGTACCATACCTACGGAACTGACACTACGAGAAAGCATGCAACGAAAGAGCTAGTGGAACATTCCTGCGCTTTTCACTCGCAATGCGCGCTGCGATCGAAGTATCATTCATTGCCAGCAGCCTTTCTGCAAGCTCGGCACCTGTGAGAACAAGAGGATCCAAGCCCTGCAGCAAGCTGGAACAGACTCTCGGGTTCGTGCTTGACCAACTTGATGCCCTTCTGCGCATTTGAGCAAATCTGTGAGCAGTCGATGGATGACTGGCAACCTTGAAAGCAGTTGCGTCTCATTCCTGCTCCCTCTTGCAGCTGATACAGCTTGGACATTCTGAGATGACCAAGTTGAGAAGCTCCACCTGCCCCCACAAACCTGATTCCGAGGAGCAGTAGACGCGGAGGTCTGCGACTCCCATGTTGTCAGCCGCATCCTGCGGTGCGGTGGCATGCCCAGTGAATCGCACTGCTTTAAAGGCAAGTCTGGGTCCTGAACCACGTTGGCCTGGGCTCCGCACACCGTCTCTCCAGGAGGGCAGCGAAGTTCTTCCGACCAGGCAGCCTGCGGCACCGGCATGCTCCGCATGTTTCTACATATGGGCATCTTTGATGTTGTCCTTTGTGCATGAGATGCTGAGCCAGCGACAACAAAAGCATATGCAGCTACAATGTGAAGACAAAACAATGCAGGATCAGCACCAGACAACACACGTGAGCTTGTTCTCAATACGTTCCGAACCAGTGGCATACCTTTATTTATGCACAGGTCGTGGTAAGAACCATACTCAGACTCTACTGCATGCAAGCTTGTGGCAACACAAAGGAATTCATGCAGTAAGAACGGCAGGCACGGCACGCCTGGTCATGGTGTTGCGACGCGGCTAGCCATTAAGCCAAGCTCACTGTACTCAGGGCACCCTGGGTCAAACTTATGACTTTGCCTCCTCGGTGGTTGAGAAGTTGAGTTTGGAGACGGCGCTGAGGTCGAAGGCTCCTCCGTTCCAAGGAACCGGCAGCGGTGCCCGTTGCTCAGTGTCATGTTCCAATTCAGCGCAAGGATCGGCAGCTGAACTCCAATCCAGTAATGCCCGCATTGTCCAGGCCGTTCCTGCACAACGAACGGTTGCCAAAGTGAAGATCTATTGAAATCACCGATTCACCATAGCATGAGATGCTGTGACATAACGCATTGCAACATCACGTAATGGACAAGTCCGGAACCTTGGGCTGCGTCCCTGCGAGCGGAAGCTGTACACCGCCTGGCCTCAAACACTTGAGAATGCTATCCAACAACGGTTCTGTGAGCTGCGATGAGCTGCGAGCCTTCGGGGCAGCGAGTCCAGTTTGACCACTCCCCATCAGGTCCTTCTGCAGTGGCAACCTCCCGCGTTTTCTCCAACTCCGAGAGACCAAGAGATGGGGCAAAACCCGCCTTGGTGCCGTCACTGCACTGGAATTTCAAGGCGTTGACTCCGCTCTCGTCGACGGCAGGCGAGGAGAGGGGCACCTCTTATCAGGAATACCGCGTGGAATTCTACGATGCTGCCCATCCTCTCTCCCTCTTGGTCCTTCATCTTCTTGATCTGAGCGCCAGTGACCTCGGTGACAACTCGCTCGGAGTCGCCGGCATAGCTTCCGAGGCGCTGCGAGGCTGAAGCATATGCCCCAGCGGGGCAGGTTGCACCGGCACCCCAGAAGCCAAGGCCTGCAAGCAGTCTTTCAAGAGGCGATGGGCGCTGCGCAAAGACTAAGGCGGCGCCTTTCATGTTGCTCGGAGTCATCATTGCTGATACATCTTTTCGTGAGATGGTCCCCAGGTCGTAGCCTGGCATCTGGTCTCGTCTCGTGTTCCTATGCAAGTCTCAGGCATGAGAACAATATGGCTCCCTACGGAGCCTGTGCGAGCCAGGCGCAGGAATTCGGCTTTCGTCATGAACTCATCCTCGGACCTGATCGGTCGCGACGGAAAGAGCTCTTACGGCAGCCAGCAAGAAAGTAAGTCCAAGGCTGATGGTAGCGCTCCCACAAGCGCTCCACTTCGTCTGCAGACTTGCCTTGCCTGGCATCTGCGCCAGGAAACGAAACTTTCAAGCTCGCTTCTTTTGTCAGCCTGCCATGGAGCTCCAGGCTGAACTCCTCGTCCGACACGACGCCATCTTTGTTCACATCTGCTCGATCCCACTCCTGCATAAACCATCACGGTGCAATTGCTCTGTCACAGCAGTGCCGAGCGACAGAAATAAGTCACGGAGAGTAGCACGATTCCTGATTCAAGCGTTTTTCGGTAATCCGTCTCTGGTCCAGATTCACCTTAGTGTCTGCTCTCAATCCACCAAGCTATCACGAGAGGAGATGCTGCATCATCTACAGTTAAGCCTGCAATTGCGCGACTACACATGTGAGAGCAGCAGAAATCTAAGTAAACATTACCGTCACGTTGCTAAGAGCAGACATGTCTTGGTCATTCCTTTGCACACTCTTGCCGGCAGGCCACGCGTTGTTCCAGATACCTGCTGAGCAAGGAGAGAAGCAAAGCCGTGCCAGATGACGTTTAAGAAAGGGCTGCAGCACCTGCCTGGACACGTATGCAGGAACCCGGTCAACCGTCGCCACGGCCTGGACTGAAGTATCGGCCAAAGAGAAAGAAAGAATGGACTGATCCAAATATATCCAAATATAGGTTGGGATGCCTTTCACAAGCAGCGACCGTTTTCGTGCACTCTGCTGCTTAGCGAGCACAACGAAGTGCAAACGCGCAGGATCGTTTCATTGGCCTCTGCCTCTCCACTCGAAAGCCGATCCTGCGGTCCGCAGGACTCACGCTAAACTGTCGCGCTGCGCCAGTGAATGAGGCCTTGGGTGCCATCAAGGGATAGTTTGCCGCCGTGTCGTCCAACAGCTCGCGCTTCAAGCTGCCAACAACCTGGAGCCAAGGTTAGAAGCTTTCTCTGAGTTCGGCTCCCCTGCTTTCAGAAGATGCGAAATTCGAGTACTCATGGCGCTGTATCCACTAGCACCTCTTCTGCATCTGGGTAGCTGGAGGGCCCTTGCCTGTCCGCAATCGATCTGGCTTGGCGATGAGACGACGCTTGTCCTTGGTAACCAGAATGTGTGAGCCTTTACAGACTCCTAGGGACGGCTAAGATGCAAACCATGTCGATAATCGGTGATGCACCATCCGGATTGTCCAGACCGCCACCTTCACCTGGCGAGGGGAGGCAATGATACTATATCAGCTGCAGGAATGGAAACTTGCCGGGAATGCCGACGCCACTATTGCCTCTAATGCAGACACTCAGGAGGCAATGCGATGACACTACCAGACTGCGATTGAGGAAGCCTCGTGGCGGCTGCTGCGGAAACGTTCGCTGTCTGATCTTCTTTGATGGCATCCAATCCTTTGCAAGACTGTCGAAACACGCAGCGTTCGGCTCAGGCGGCTTGCTTACATACAGGCATGCATGCCGGCTTTGCTGTCAAAGCATCCGGTGCCATCGGGGGAGTGCCATCTTCTAGCAGTGGCAACCTTTCCCCAGCAGGAGCAGCTGGCCTTGCAGCACGATCAACCACAGCAACAGCACGTGGAAGTGCATAAAAACTGCTGTGATGGATCCTATGATGTACTATACTAGACTTGACTAGACTACACCAGGCCATACTACAAAATACTATTCTGTACTATACTAGAGTACGCTTTACGATGCCTTGCAATTATCATCTATGATATACTGTGCTACCACGAGTTGGCAGCCCTTGGCCAAGGACGCTGCTTTGCACCCGTCAGAGAGGCATGCTGCGCCACTCCGTCGAGCCGATCCATGGGCGCCTCACGTAGCAACGGAGTACACGAATGAAGATCTGTGATTAATCGTATAGAAACAGGGTGACAGACAAACTACAGATGGAGTTGTGCAAAACCTGAACCATGAGAGGCTGGAAGTGCAAGGCCAAAACGTGAAAGAAGTGACGAAGACATCCAGCGGCAAGCCCCGAACCCCGAACGAGTGGGAGTGGCAACACCTCAAGCACGAAACGAAGACCTTGCATGGAAAACCCACCGCCCCAAAACAAACGGGAATGGAAAACCCAAATCAAGCGTGCTGTTGAAAAGCCTCAACCTGCAAGGAGAGAAGAATGGAAAGGGGTGACACACCCTGAACCCCAGAGATCGGCAACCCATTTGACCGGAAAGACCGAAACTCAAAGGGAACTAAGAGCGAATGTGCAGGGCCGCAAGGGAAAGACAGTGGCGAACACATGCGAACCCGACTCGAAAGAAAAATGATTGGCATCGTAGTCTCAGGACTTAGGATGACTTAGAATCTGACAGTTGGATCCATGTCTCCCAGCACGAAGATGCGTGGCTTATGGTTCACCTCGTGACCAGAAAGGATTCAAAATCAAACAACAAAGGTGAAGCCACATGCATTCTTTTGAAGCAAAATCCTGCCGGTGGCACCCAGTCCGCATTCCCGACAGGAGCATCATGGAAGCTGCGTCCAAAGAGCCTCCAGCGAGCAGCAATGCAAGCACTCTGAAGTTGCTCCCACTTCAAGCTCGACGAAAGCGAGCTGCCTCGGCACACCTTTCGCGGCAGCCGCGGTATGCGCCTCTGTTACCAGACGCCACGAATCAAAAGGCAGTCAAAGGCTCGGAGGCCTGGGTGGCCACCTGCCGCAGGCTTGGCCGAACCTCCCCGCAGCTCATCCCCACACATGTGCGCCCTTCGGAACGTACTCTGTTGCGGAGGGAAATTGTTGGGTCTCACATATACACACACACACACACACAAACAAAATATAAAGATCAACGGCAACATCGCTCCTTCTGCGGTGCTGTTGCATTCACTGCCTCGGCAGTGTCGCTGGGCGTCGCAGCTTCAGGCTCGTGAGCTGCTGGAACGGCTGGGGTGCTGGCCACAAGGCCGAAGGCCAGGAAGAGCAGGGCCGAAACAGAGTATGTCATCACACACAAGCCAGTGCGTCCACCTGACTCCAGAGCACTTGACTTCCAAAACTGGCTATCATCGAACTTACCTGCTCACTTCTGAGACGACCCGGCCTAGTTGGTCATCGAAGGCAACAGGCGCCTGCTGCCTACTACGTAACAACAAGCCAGCCGCAAGGCAGCTGGTTGAGCCAATGGCTGCCCAGAGTCTTCTTATGATGACGATGGTGACTACTATTCTGATTTTTTTCTTTCTGACCATTATGATGACCGACATGGGTATTTTGATTATGGTTCTTGTTGTAATTGTCGTTATTGGTATGATTAATTGCGATTGTACTTAAACCCTGATGTTATTATTGTTATGTTTTCTCATAATCAACTTAAAGATATTGACAGGTCCGCATTGACTGCCGGTGAAGCTCCAGAACCTTTCCGGTGCTACTTCCGAATGTCGTCCCAACAGGCGGAGCCTTAGCCTTGTGTGCCACGTAAAGGCCGTGATTCCCAGGATGATTTCCATGAAACACCATCCTTAGGGGCAGGGCGGTGCATCAGAAAAAGGGAGGCCGACCTACTGCCACAGCAGTGCAAGCTGGGCACAGGAAACCGCGCTCGTTCGTGGGTTTGTTGACCATCCGCATCGCGTCAATCCGCCAACCTCGGTCGCCAAAAAAACGCACAATAGTTCGGAATGAAAAAGGACAAATATGAACGGAGATACTTGAACCAAAGATAACTAAAGGCAAACAACGAGGGGAAAGGACCTCCAGCGTCTGGGCTCTTCTGTTGCTTAGGGAGCAGCGGTCAATGTAGCCTGGTATCATGATGTCCTTCCAGGGTGAAGACCACCTGTTCTTCCCAGACAGAGCTGACGAAGACGGTTTACACACCGAGAGCCGGAAGCTAAGAAGTGAACCGCGGAAGATCATCATTGATTTGCCAGGATTCAACCTCTGCATGACAGTGATGACTGACATGACTCAGTTGGAGGCAAACGTGGCACTTTCCTGTAGATCTGCTTAGCTCTGCTTAACATTAAACCACTTCTCCGTGCGACGAGTTTCGACGAAACTCAGAGCAAAATATGTGGAAACTCAGAAAACCAGCTCCCTCTGCATTGCTATAACGGCCCTCCGCAGTTTGACGTGTGGATGACAGCATCAGCCGTCGGCATGGTTGTGTGAGGCAGTGGTCTTTCTTCATGCAGCATGATGCAGCCACGAGACAGAGCGGTCTCCCCTCATGGTGATTACTATTCTGAAATACTGCGACTGTTCCAGCAAGACCTGTCCGCTGTTCGTGATCCGACAGCACAAATCTAGACTGGATCTGAGGGTTCGAGATGGAATCGCCAAAACTATTCCGACATAGCTAATCTGCTTGTCGGTTTCTCGCCTGCCCAGCATTTGTTCGCTTGCTCCTTGCTCCCTGACACGATTTTTCCTTCTGTATTTGATTCGCCTCGGTGCTGGTCGGGCACTGGGTTCGAGGCATGGCACTGAGAGGCCACTACGCTCAAGTCAGACGTCCGCTGATGCAGTGCCGCAACAAGTTGCCCCATTGGTAGTAGCATACACGGAGTCACGCGAGGCATCCTGCTAGCAGAACTTAAAAGATGTGCAACGGTCCCAAACAGGCCGGCTCAACTGCACTGACCATGATATGGTTCGCAATGTAAGTGGACATGCTAAATGCATAAGGACGGTCGGCCGCTCACGATGCAGGTCACAATTCTCTTGAGGCCGTCACCGTCAGGAGAATGGTGTTGCGAAGTGGAGCAAGATGTTTCCAAGACGGCAGGTTTGCCTTACGCGAGCACGACAAATTCCCCTTTGCGAGTCGCCAATGTTGCATCAGATCTGTCCACGCGCACCGAGACGACAAAGAAATGATCTTGTCCTCGCCGCCGCGCAAGATGCGAGAATCTGGCAGACACCACTTGATGCAGCTGCTGCTTTGTGGGTCATATTGAACTTGAGGCATGTGCTCAGAGTCGTCTGCATGAGCACGTTTCTCCAGGAAGTTGTTGTACCTGTTTGACTGCAGCGCTCCGTGCCTCGAAGTGCCCTATAAGACGCACACAACCATTGCTATAGGGTCACTGGTCGCCATGGTAAGCTGGAATGAAGAAGAGGTCTGCGGTCTCCGGATCCTTGGATGCACCAGAACTCAGGCGTTGTGCTGTAAGAAAGGCGGCGGCCGAGCCTGCACGATGCAGGAGGCACGCTCCAGGTAGGAATGTATGTGAGTTGCTGCAGCCATCATCCCGGAGCCTTCGCTTCTGCACGGCTCGCATGCTCACAGAAAACTCTTTCGTCGGCAGGCTCACGGCACCTGTAATCAATCGCCGCTGTGTCAAGTCCGAGGTGGAGTTGTACATAAAGACCTTGTCATGGCATCAGATATGACAGCTGGCTTCCAAGATCCCCCTTTGCCGATGTAAGCGAGTTGCACGCAGTTGCGATCCCCCACATTCGTTGTCTTCATGTCCAAGAAGCTGCCTGCGCCGCAGGACATGACACCTTGTGAAGAAGTGCCAATGCTTGTTCTCTTGAAACTGAACACAGCAGTAGCTGGAATTCCCATGATCCACATCTACCCATTGGATCCCGTTGGTAGAGATTCTTTGGTGCAGCTTTGCAGATCAATGGAATGGGGAGTCTCTCGCTCTCTCACTCTCTGTCTCTCTCCCGCCGGATCGGGCGCTGCAACAGGCAATACAAGCTCGTGTTCGGCCTGTAGCTGAAAAACTTCGTCGGATCAAGCGGCCAGCCAGATTCCTGAAAGGCATCGACCGATCTCGAAAATCTTCGCCAACTTTTGGAGGCCAGCCAACACATGCAGGTCCTCGACGAGCTCTGAAAACTGGAAGAACAAGCCGTCCGCAATGGCCTTACCAAGAAAAGGCTGCAGGTTCAGGATTCTGCAATCGATAGAGTAAGAGCCTCCAGTTCCCGTGCTCGTTCCAAGCCCTCCTGCCCGTTTTTTTGTGCACAAAATTACCCCCTGTCTCTCGAGATGCATTGAGACAGGATCCTCGGAGTCGACCAGGGCGAGCGTCAACCAAATGAGGGAGACAACGCCGAACACACAGTCCTCTGCGAAAACAGGAGTGCATGGGAGGGCGCACAAATTGCACTGAGAGTGTTCCTTGACGGCATTATCGAGGTCTGGAAGCACCTGTCACGAAAGTGATCGTGTGCCGAAGCCGACAAATGCAGCACGTTGCCTCGCGGTTCATGATCTGACGGAATTCGTTCAAGTTGTCCTGAAGACTTTGAAAGCACAAGGATCCTCAAGCAGTCTGCCGCTGCCTCGCCTCTTTTTGAAACATGCCAGTCAGACAGATCTCGGATCCACGCTGCGGCCATCCTCTCTGCCTCAAACAGGTGCTGGCCGAAGGCATGGCGTGGTTGCATCTCAAGCGGCTCTCAAGGCCATTTCATGGCAGTGATGCTGCTTGTGCTGGCCCATATATTCAGAATGTCCACTCGTGGTGAGTTCAATTTCCACATCTTGCCGCAAGCAATGAGTGGCATCCACGTTAACTGACCGAACACACCAAACCCAAAGCCTGCCATGTCAATCTCCAGGATATATTTGACCTCATCCCAGGTGTCCTTCTTTGCTCGGCCTGACCCAGACAAGACTTCGATCTTTCTGAGAATGCAACACTTGCCAAACTGAACCCAGGCATCGCGCTGAAGGTTCCATCACAACTGTTGAAGGCAAGCGAGGGCACAGCTCTGCTTGCCTCAGCCAGAACCCAGAGGTGCAAAGCCTGAGTCCCTTTATTGGTGAACGGCCCGTGGAAGCAAGCCGAAGGTCACCAGAGACTCTGGCTGCAGCAGCACATGCGATGAGTCGTATGCTCCGTGCCTCCACGCCATCACTGACATGCCCAAGAACAGCACAGCAAAAAGGCTTCCCATTGAACGGTTTCGGCGAGACCAAGTGCTAGTTCTGACTCATCTTCACTCGAGACATGATGCTGAGCCCGTGGCTGCCATCCCATGGCTAGCGGCTGCTGGCAAGAACGTCTTGCGGGCTGTCGCCAGCTGATGGCTTCGTTTGGGCTTGCGATCCCACTACAGGTAGGGAGAATAGGAAATACTGTCGAAGCAGCCGAAGCTAGGTTTGCATGAACTGCTGCACGCCCTCTTTGGCATAGTCATAGTCCTATCTCAGCTTCCAACACTCGCGACTCAAGTGTGTGTGTGTGTGTGCATGTCTGTACACGTTGAGCTTCATATCTCGACCAAAAGCAATGAGCCAAAGAAGGATCACGGACAATACGGACAAGACAATCGAGTCGTGGACAAGACAATCGAGCCGTGATCTGGCCTCCTCATCAACATTGTCCTTTTGCAGCAAAACTTCTCTGTTCGCAAGAGGCATTTAGGCTATGCAATGAAACGCAGGCTCCTTCTCCTCTTGCTCTTGCTCGGCTGCTTCTGCCTTGACGGCATCCACGTCCAGATCCGCTGCAGTGAACTGCTGCTCCTGACAACGCGCACAGCAGCAAAGGAAAGCCCTGCTCTTGGGGTACGGAACTTGAAAGTCCGCAGGCTTCAAACCACAAGACTTGTAGCCGTTTGCTGCGCCCGCCCTGTCTTTTTCCTTCCTGAGCACGCGATGGTCGCGACGGCCGAGCAGCCGTTGAGGAGCGGTTGCCTGTCTTGGAGCAGTTGGAAAGATAGATTCCTCCCTCCTCCTTCTGCTTCGGCCTCTCCGAACCGGCTCCACCATGTGTCGCAGAATTCCGAACGGACTTGACCATGTGCCGCAGAATGCCACATCCTTTGCTGAAGGAGGCCGGCACTTCCAGCCTCTACATCTCGACAGGGGAATCTCCGCTAGGACACGACGACGAGAAAGTCGGGGCGTCGGGGGGGCGTCGGTGTGAGTCATGGAGTCAGATGCTCCTCTCACCGTCTCCCTTACATCCTACATTGGCCTACATCTCCTTGCCGGCATCTCTTCTCTCCCTCCTGTCCCAACGGCTCCTCGAGGAGGGCTCCGGCTGGGTGGGCTGGGCCGAGCTCCATCGGCTTCGGCGACTTGCCGAGACCTCCCCCGGCTCCGGCTCCGCAGCGGAAGCGGAAGCGGCGGCCGTCTCGGCGCTTGGAGCTGGCAACTCCGCAGGGTCCTGCGAGCCAATCGCTCCCGCATCCGCACTCCGCACGCTTTCCGTGGCCTTGCTCTGCAGCTTTTCCTTCTGCTTCGCCTCCACTTTCTCCCTGATGCTTGCCGCCTCTCTGGCGATGTGCATTGGCACGGCCACAAGCTCTTTCTTGCTCAGTCCGGCCTCCTTCTTGCTCTCGGACATCTGCAAGCGTACCATGCGCTTCTGCGCTCGCACCAGATCCGTTTGGTTCTCGGCATCCCGAAGCTCTGCGCCGACATCCACCTGGGTCTTCTCCGTCGCCAAGGACCGAGCCACAGACTCCAAGCTGCGGTTCACCGCAGACTTCTCTGGCCTGTGGAGTTCTCCCGCCTTCCGTTGCGCATGCACTTTTCTTAGTCGAGCTTCCTCCTGGAGAAGGAAGTCTGGTATCTCAACACCAACTGGATGCCTCTCCAGAGACCCTTCTGATCTGACGTGCTGCACCGCGTGACCATGCTTCTCAAGCTCTTCGGCAACGGCCAAGCGGCCGTCGGCACGCCAATCTTCTTCTTGACCCAGAAAAGCGGTTCGACCATGGTGCTTGGCTCGCCACACCAATTCCACGAGAATGTGCTGAACCTCATCACTCTGCAAGTGCTTCAGTGTACCCCATGCTGTCTCCCGCCCTACCGCAACGTGACGATAGTGAATGCCACGCTGGCGGCAGTTGGATTTCAAAACTCGGATCTCAAAATGTGGCTGCTGGCATCGAACCTCGTCACGGTAGTCCGTGGGCCGAAAATCATACACAACTCGAATAGAATGTAATGATAAAAGCTCGAAGAACTGCTTCTCTGTTTGAGCTGCGACGCCCAAAGAGTATATGGTTTGGGCACCAAGCATGTCCAAATTTAGATTGGCTCTACGGAACGAGTTGTGCATCAAATCACCATATCCGTCCCATGCTTTTTCTGCATCGTCCACATCGAGCAGCTTTTGGTACTCGTCGAACTGCTGTTGAAGCTGATCGGGACTTTCTCGCTGAAGCTCCTCCATCTGAAGCTTCCGCGCAAGAACCGCATCGCCCGCATCCATGTCTGCATAAGCTTCATCGTCAACATCCTCCGCACGTGAATTTCCCAGCAGCTCGGCAAATCCACCGGTCAGTGCTTCGATGGCTTGCTCCACATCTCCACAGAGCTCAAGAGCACTGCGAGATGCATCAGCATCAAAGCCCATGTCCATGAGAATCTGCAAGCCCCCATCGCCCCCGTCCTCTGGGTTTGCATCTTCGCCATCTTCCCAGTCAGCATCTCCCTCCACGGGATACCACCGCTCCTCGTCCTCCTCACCTTCTGCATCTTCGGTCCGTGCTGACGGGGCTTGATGCATGCGTTTGCTGTCGCGCTTCTGCGGCGTGAAAGGAACTGAAATGCGAAGGCTTCCTTCGCTGATGTCCGGCATTGTAGGAACCCCATGACGCTGGGGACCAATAACGATCAGGTCTCCTTCCTGCATAAGTATAGGGACCTTGTCCACCATCATAATTCGCTCAGCCCCGAGAGCAACTCGCGCACTCCAGAAAACATGCCGGTGGCTCCCAACACTCGCATCGCCATCCGAAAACCAATACATGCCTGCGCCATGATCAGGATCTTGAATCCCGACCTTTTGGTGGATCTTTTGCACCAGTAGGTCCAGTCTGGGGACCACTGAGGGCTGGTACGAAGCTGATTTCATGGTCATCATCTTCATTTTGCCTTCTCGGTCGTAGCGAAGGAAGTAGGAAGCTGTCCGGAAATCCTTTGTTTCCGATGCACCCTGCTTCCATGCCGTGAAGCCAGAAACGATCTCGTCGTAGAGCCCAGCTGTGTCTGTAAAGAAACCTCGCAAGACTTCTACTCCACGCCACATGTGAGTGCGGTCTGCCTGCTTGCCACCTGCCATTGTGTGCGCCAGGTATTGGTGGACCCCTGGAGGTCTCGGCACTGCCAACGGCTCCAGCTGCCACCAGCGGGCTACAAATCGTTCAGAGCGTCCCACATCCTTCGCGATCTCTGCCTTCGACCAGCCCTGCTTCCGAAGATGGATGGCTCGCAAGCGGTCCTGGTACTCACCATGTGCCGTCGAGGTGTTCGACTCGAAGGTGCCACTCCATGCGAGGTGCGCATCGTCGAATTCAGCTGTGCATTCCTCGCCAAACCTTGCGGGACAAACCGTTCTTGTGCTGCTGCGGAAGAAGCTGCAGCACACGAGAGAATACAAAAAAGATCAAGGAATTTGAGGAAGATTCTACTACTGCTGCTGCTGCTGCTGCTGCTTGTTGCTATACGCAACATCTCGCTACGAAAACCTCCCGGTGATAGTTTCTCGATTCAGGCAAGGCTTCTACTGGTATGACTACCACTACAAACTCACACCCTCTTTTCGCCTTGCGCATGCCTTGCAGCGGCTGAGGCTATTTTCAGGCCCGAGGCGCTCTCGATACGTGTAGCGCCTGAAGCCTGGCGCGTCCTCCGGAACATCACCGGAGCCGGAGGAGTTTGCCGGATACATGGAAAGGACGGCAAAAGGGGGCAAGATGGCAAGATGCTCGTGACAGCTACAAAAACTCGTGACCTTGGCAACTACCGTCTTTGAGAAGCACCCGAAGCATTGCTGGCATGAGGAGCTACATGTGAAATGTTGATGGAAGACGTTCGAAACTGTCAAGGCTTCTCATATTGGAGCTGGAGCGCTGGAGCCAGACCAAGGACCGTCCTAAGGAAAGTGCCACAGCAGCCCTGAGTCCAAGTAAGTCCCGTCCACCGCCTGCAGGAGAGTTCGAAAAGCAACACTGGCCTCCTCCAAGTCGTCCTCGGAGAAATCCGCGCCTCCCGCCTTCTTCTTGCCGGGTCGCCTACCAGACACCGAGTAAGTCCCGAGCCCCACGACACTGCTCTCAGGCAACGACTTGCCACCACCCGTGGCTTTTCCTCAAGAAAAACCAGGATGAGCTTGTGGCATGGTCTAAGTGACATGCCGAGAAGCTTTTATTCGACTTTCCCATCACTTGGCCTCAGCAGAAGCAGAACCAGCCCCTCGAGATGCACAGAGTTGCAACAGACCTCTCACTCGTTCTTCCCGACTGCTCTTCAAGGGACTAGTAGCATTTTACAGTTCCTGTGACCTCCTCCCACACCAAAGATCACATGCGCCAATGTGTAACACCCGCAACACCAAAAGTCTAATCCTGGATTTGCCGCTGCAGCACGTCTCTCCCTATAGGGGCAAAGAGATTCACCCACAAAGCGATAGCTCCGCATCTCGAGTGGGACCGGCGCACTGTTTCGTGACCACTTACTTTCGCTGCATCCTCCTGCTGGTGCCCACGGCTTGGTGGTTTGATTGCTATTGGCACGGTTATGTCAGCGTGGTGTTTGCCGCTCTCTCCGTTGATGCGCCTGTTCAGACAGCATTGAGGAGAAAATGTCGCGCTGTCAAATCGCTTCAGTCTGTTTTGCATCTGGCCCACGTGCTTGCTTGATTGTTTGTTTCGGGTTTTGATGTGAAGCGTCCCTCCTTTCCTCTCTGTCTGACGCTGTCTCTCGCCCTCTGAACCCGAGTGAAGGGCTCAAGAAGAGCGTCCGCAGCGTCGGCGCAGTTTTCACCCGCTGGGCCCGGCTATTGGTGAGCCAAACGAAGCAAAAGTAGGTCTGGCAGAGTCTGGCTCCAGTCAACAACACCTATGCAGCCTATGCAGCCTAGAATCTCGCTAGAATCTAGAAGGTACCCCATGCGGAAAGATCACCACGGCATGGCTTTTCACAACCTTCGCACGGCTTTAGACCGGAAAAAAGCCTGGTGAAACTAAACGCACTGGCATTTACCCTGTGCACAACGCTCTGTTGCAAATGCATGGTGGCATACCTGCACTGGTAGGCTTCATAAGTCGTGCTATCATCGGGGCTGCGCAGGAACTCCACCAACTAAAATATCGTGGGAAAGCTTATATCCGCCTTCGGACGTCACGAGCAGCGACGGCCTCTGCATCGTCTTGCTCGTCACTAGCCTTGTCCTTCAGGGGCAAAGCCGCAAACGGAAAGGGCATGAGCCCTTGCTTCTGCCGCCTTTGGCGGCAAATTGCATCATCCTCCACCTGACGCACAAGAAGATCGTGCTCAAATTCTGCAACGGTGCCACGGTCACCATGGAAGTCGTATACTCGTCCACCTCTTATCCAAAGAACCGGTGGTTCCTCTGCCTGGCTGTCTCTGCGACCCCTGCAACTCCAAGCTTCCCTCGACACAAGGAGCACGTTGGGAATAGCTCCTTTGAACTTGATGGCCTCCTTGCCGAGGCCGTAAAATTGAACTAAAACACCGGCAACTTTTGACAGCTCCTCGTCGCAAGGTGAATCCAAATAGTTCTCACTATCTGCAAGCAGTCGGCTGGAGGGCGCGAGAAGACAGGCCTCTTCTGGCTGATTGTTGGAATGGGCATTCCATGCATCCACCGCATCATCATCCGAATTCATCATCTCTGTATTTGCGGAACGGTGCCCCCGTCGAACCTTACGTCGCACACCGACGTCCGGTGCATTCTCGGTCCTGCGAGCCACCAGCTCCCGATACCTGTATTGGCGATAGTCGAACTCCGCTTCACTGCCTTCTGCCTCGCTGGCAGACCATTCTTCCTCCTGCCACAACTGCGACCACATGTGAGAAAGTGCACAGCTTGTTCGTTCTCCCGGCGTCCTCCCATGGAGCTTCCGAGCTTTCCGGAGGGCAGAAAGGGCTTGCAGCTGCATGCCCACTAACCTGATCGTGTGGAGCTGGCATCCCCATGTCTCTTCTTGCCTGGTATTAATCTTTGCCAAAGTGACGAGCAGAGGAGTCCAGCCAAGAAAGGCGCCCTTAGTAGGAATTTCAGAACCCCTACATGCAGTGCACTAGTGCACTGACTAAGCACCAGGCAAGGCTGGGAGCAACAGCGTCTGGGCTCGAATCTGCGGCTGTTGGGGAGACCTGTGCCAGCAAATCACAAGCGCTTGTGGCAACCACGTCGTGGTGATTCCCAGCCCTCATGGCATAAATCTTGACGCGCTCCTCATAATGACTACGTTGGAAGCTGGAAAGTGGAATGCTGCCTCGGGGATCGCTTGGCGGATGTCCCGATTGTTCAATATCCTGACAGACCAAGGACACAGCAAAGCCACTGCACTGAAACCACACCTTCAGCCAAAAGTTCTGGTAACTAGCCTTCGAGGGTCGTGGCCTTGCAGCACCAGATCGCTCTCACCTGCGATGGACACAGTCTAACATAGTCTAACGAAGGGCGGAGTGGCCAAGACTCTGCCTCCCGCAGTTGCAGAAGGCTCCGGGCTGATGCGATCCATGCGGGACTGGGAACAAAGCCGTGATCACAAGGCAGCTCGCTCTGACCAAAACTTCAGGCCAGCGCAAGTGTCTTGGCCCGCACCACCCGGGAAGGCTTCTTGATGCCATGCTGCGATGCCACCAAGCCTCTGGGGCCCGAAATCGCCCGAAGAAACCCAGGCCCAGGGCTTCCGAGGGCCGCACTCTGCTTCGCCGCAGCCAAGGCCGCTTCTCTGCAGCTTGGCGCTGCGGACGCACCGTAGAAGACCATGTTGTTGCCCTGCGCAGCACTTCCGGGAGAATTCTGGAAAAAGCTATTGAGACAGTGCTGGCCCCCAAGTTCTTCGTTGAAACTCTGGGCGGCCGGCAGGTGTTGCTTCTGGGCAGGGAAGGCCGGTCGGAATCACAGGCGACCTGGGCTCAAGCCGAGAACTTTCGCTTCAGCTCCGCTTGTAAAACTCGAGAGACCCGGCATGTCCAGGTTCGCTCCGCGGCGAGCCGAAACAGACCTGAAAAGAGTCGCCGGCTTCGAGTCCACCTCCATTTGCTCCCCGTGCTTTCGGAGGCTCTGGTTTTCGTCAAGGGTCCACCAGCTTTGGGTGTCGTGCTCTCACTGCGACCCACTGCACAGGGCCGTCCGAAGGTCAGAGGAATCTACTGCGGCGCACGGCTCTCAGCTATCATCCTCGTCTCCTCCTTTGACACTGATCGTGTAAAACCTGGGGCATCTGACCAATGTCGGCAAGTGCACGAGAAAATCCAATCCGTCTTGCTTCCAAGTGACTGCTTGGCAAAGTCCAGATCAGGATCCCGGTACGAGGTGACAAAGCCGAACACAAACCTTGACACAAACTCCATCCAACAACCAAGCAACTCGCTCTGCTTGTTGGCATAAAAATGCTGCTGCGCAACTTCGACAGTGCTGCGTCCATGAAGGCACTTATCTGAAAATCCTGCGCGATCTCCTGGACCAAGGCATGCTTCATCTTTAAGTAGTGCAGGGACGGGCTCCGCCACTCCCAAGTCCTTCACAATCAAGCTTCTAAAGCGCCGCGGTAGCAGATAGGCATACCTCCAGCAGGCTGGCAGCTGCAGCACCAACTGCGCAGGCTGGACCACGCTTGCTGCAGGATGGGTCTGATCACAACCCTACCGAGCTGCAGAACGGCACGGTCGAGAAGTTTGGCAAAGAGCCCTTTCTCAAGGTCATTGAACTTATCAGCCACCACATCAATCTTTGTGTCCTTTCCATGCTTGCGCTTGTCGGAGCAGGGCAAGCTTCGACTGCTTGGAACATTCGATGGTTACCTGAGGCCTGGACGAAGCTTCCAAGATCTATCAGAATGGCACCGCCGTGGATGAGGGAATTCAAGAACGCTCGTCGCAGCCGAAGTGGCTCCATGTCCTGCTCAGCAACAGGCACATGCAGCTAGTTTCGCCGAGTGTGCGGGAAACCAGTGTCCTTAAGCTCAACGATGTTGAAAACCTTCATGTTTGCTCACCGGAACTCAGACTGACCGGACCAAGAGCCTCCCTGACTGCTGCTTAGCAACTGCCGCACCCGAGTACTTGATGAAGGTGGAAGTGCGACCGGAGGGGTCTATGACAAACGGCCACCGGCCATCCGCCGCTCTCAAGCCGCCAACATCTTTCAGCATCACATCCTCAGATGCTGCATCTTAAAAACTATCTTAAGCAAAACTACTTGCCTGCCTGTCGAGAACCGCAAGGAAAGTCGACACAGTTTTGACAGAGCATCTGCAATGGCTTTGATGGGAACCGTGCGGTTGAAGCCCCTGGAGAAGTTGAGGATCAGCGGAAAGGGTTCTTGCTTCTCTTCTCCTGTAACACGGGACACAAATGGAGCCCTTGGAGTGTGGATCATCCTTGTCACGGTAATCCAAAGGAAGCCGGGGAGGGTTTCGGGTTTCGGGCCTAAAAGGTTTAAAAGGGTGGCTCGGCTGGGCCGGCCTTCAGTCTCAGCTTCAGCCTCTTCCGACGGAAGCGGCTTGCCGTAGCCCTGAAGGAAGTGCTTGTTGAACTCACCTCAGCCATGTTGAGCTACAAGTATCACCCGGTACGCTGATATAGAATATATATATATATATATACATACATACATGCATATGTATGTATATGTATATATATATATATATCCTTCCTGTGGTTGCGGGAACACACTTCAGGGTTCCTAAGAATCTCAAGTCGCTGACAATATTACAGCTTCCTGCTGTGTCCCGAAAAGAGCATACACGAAGGGGTTCTTGTCTGCCCGGGGCATTGGTACAGTCTGGCGGCTTGTTCTGAGATAGATGAAGGGCCCATCCTTGATCAGCGCATCCCCTTTCACAAGATCGATGTCGTTCCAAGAAAAGTCTTCGCTCACCTGCGTGAAGGGATGAGCACATCATCATGCTCAACGAGAGTGATTCACTCAGCCTTAGACATCGGAGAGTACCTATTACAGTACGCAGTGTTTGGCGGATGTTCCAGCTTGGCTGCTCTTTTTCAATTGGTGACTCCGTGCCCATGTTCAAAACAAGACCAGGCCAGGAACGCAAAAGACTCCGGAAGTCACCGAATGAAATCTCCGGTTCTGCACTCTTCCGTGTACCCTACATCTAGCTGCACACATCCCGCACATGCTCCCCGCGCACATCTGTGCCGGACACCACCGCGTTGCCCGCTGCGGCGGGGTTGGGTGGAATGGGGTGGCGTGAAGAGAAGCACCGTCAACACAAATGGCACGAAGGCTGCACGTACCGTACCGGACACGTAACTACCCCGCATGTATAATCAACACCGCCGGAACGGCGCTCATAATTACCCCGGGCATGCATATACCCCACCCGATCCCTCCGCGCATTGCGCACTATCCGGCCGTACCAGTACAGTGCCGCACCCCACAATGCCGCCCTGCACCCTGCAAGAAAAACTCACGTTGGGAAAAGCAGAGCCGCCTCCAGCGTGTTGCTCAACTTCGGCAGGACAGACTCAAGCTCCTCCAACGAAGCGCAGTTGACCTGCACCTTGAAGCCTCGCAGCTTTCCAGCCGCTTTGGCCTCCTTCTCCTTCTTAGCCTGGTCAAGGTCGTTCATCTTTAACCTTGCCCGGGAAGCCTTCCATTCCCATTCCTGCACACTGCCTTCGAAGAGTTTTACCTGTGCTTCCGCTGACTCGAGGAGCGGCTCCAGTTCCGCCAACTTCTCCGAGGCGCCCTGCTCCACGAAGGAGACCTTCTGCTGGCGATAATCCACCAACAACTTTCGAGCCCTGGCAAGCTCGCTCTTCGACACCTGCATCCGGCGCTCGGACTCTTCTAGGGAATCCACCAGCTCTTGCTGCTGCCTCTTGAACTTGGCCTTCTCCTCCTTCTCTGCATTCTTGGCAGCCTTTCTCTTGTCATCTTTGATGCGGTCCGTGGACGCTGGGTCCCAACAAACCAAATACTCACGCGACTGGGGATTGCTTGCTACATCAATGGGCCGTGCCCCTTGCTCGTCGCACTCCCGTGGATCACCACCCGACCGCAGCAGTTGACGGATGAGTTCGTGATTGCCAGCATAGGCCGCGCGCCAAAGCCTGAACTAAGTTCTCATCTCGCTTCAAAGACAGCGGGGGATGTAAAAGGACACGGAGAACCAATTCGAAAGCAAATAATGCCGATTCTGAAAGCAACCGAAGTTCAGGAAAAAAATCGGAAACCAAGGGGGGCAAATTCGGAAAACTTGGACGAAGAATCCCCACAAATCGGGAGTGCTTGCGGGAACTAGAGTCTAGAGTAAAAGGTTAGCAAACCACATGTGTAGGCAGACCTCAAACCTTAAGAAGACCGTGGGCGGCTGCAAACAAGGAGACATTGATTGGCAAACCCCAAACCCGAAAACAAGATGGCGGGTGGCAAATCCCAAACCTCAAAAACCAATATAAAACAATAACATATTGGTTGACAACTCCTCACAAAAATAGATGGGAAAAACACCACGCAAACCCGATATTGGTCGGCAAACCCGAAATCCTAAAACGAGATCTTGGGTGGCATGAGCAAGCGTGCGATTTGTTTTCTGAATCGTCGGGGTTTTCCAAAGCAGCCGGCCGCTCTTTCCGAACCTATGTTTGTGTGCGGGTGGCTCATGGAGACGTGTTCCTCGACACTTTACATGGGGCTTTCCGAAAATAGGGGGCCCTCATATAGTACCCTAAATAGTCGGATCCCTATTATAAGGACCTCAAAATAAGGACTCTACATGCCACCATGGGACGGGGTCCGGCGATAGCGGCCGACCGAGTTGGGATCGCAGCCCTCGCCAATCAACATCTCAGCCACATCTTGTGCATTGCCAGCACAGGCTTCAGAGAGAAGCGTTGTGCCGTGTTCATCCGCACATTCTGGCTCAACACCTTCATCCAGCAGCTTCAGTAGATTGTCTAGCTCATTGTCGAAAGCCGCCTCCATAGCCGCTTCTTTCAGCTTCTTAGCTGCAGCTTTCTTCTCCTCTTTTTCCAGCTTTTTTTTGGCTTCTCTTTCGGCGCGCTTGCGTAAGCATTTCAGGAACATTTTCTCCTGCTCTGCCAACTCAGCTGCCAAAGCCTCGTCTGCGCCGTCCTCGTTCTCGCCCGCGACTGCTACAACCGCACCCACGTCTGTCTCGCACCGAAAGGCATGAAGCTGTTTAACAGCTGCAGTCACCTTTGCATGCTCATCGGCAGAGAGCGTGCTCGCCGCAGCTCTCAATTGCTCAGACGTCGCGTGCTCCACGTCTTTCAGGAGCGAGGCAGCAGACCCCATTGCGCAAGGTATGCAAAGAAACGAAGTCAGTCAATAAGATTTATGCAAAGGCTGCTGACTCTTGCTTTGACTTGACATGCATTATCTCGGCTGAGGTGCAATAAATCCGTGAGGGACCCGTAATTAAGAGCCCTGCAGTCCATTGCTCAAACGAACTGCTTGCGAAAAAACCGCCCACGCCGTGTGGAGTACCAGCTCAGCTGCCTCGTTCTCCTCCTTGGAGGCGGGGGCCAGCCAGACTGGCCAGAAGCTGCAGATCCTCCGTGGCAGCAGCACACCAGTCCCGCAGACGCATGCCTGCTCGAGTCCTAAGGCGCTGTCCTTTGGCAGCCGCAGAAGAGGGAGCCTGAGTCATTTGCAGCCATCAAGCCAAAGGTACAGGAGTGCACGCACATCGAATAGGGAGTACGAACTCAGATACGCGCTGACACGACAGGAGCCGCGGACAATTGTCGAGCAGGCCCAAACGGCAGCACGGAGCTAATCGAATCCTGCGGCTCGGGCATTTCTTGGCATGAGTGTCGCATATCAACCTTTACGGGGGAGCCGGGGGAGGGGGGGGCGGGGGACACACGGACCAAGTCCTATACCCTGAAAAAAAATCAGCCCATCAACGCTCCATTTCTGACTGGCCTGGGGCTTAACCTAGCACTCCGACTATGGCCCCTGAAAAAGTTGTCAGCTTCTTTGCGCACCGTCAACCTCAACAGTAACGTTTGGTTCGAGATTAACAATAAACCCTAGTGAGGCGAGGACGACGAAGCTGATGCTGCCAACGATGGCGATGCATGATACCGTAGAAGGTGGGAGCGAATGATGCAAACTGATGACGGACATGATTATCATGATGACGGCAACAACGAGGATGATGATGACAATGGCGAAGGTGGAGATGATGATGATGACGACGATGATGATGATGATGATGCGGAGGAAGAGGAGGAGGAGGACCCGGTTAGGATGATTGTCGCGGTTACAACGTTGGAGGCTTCGGTGTGGTCGGGCTTTTGGTTCCTCGGTGTAGCAGACTTTTTCCCTTCCTGGGTATGGCCGTGGCCTGGCCTGGCCTGTGGAGGCTGTGAGGTCTCGATTGTCATGTTTTGCAGCAAGCCATCGGCGAGTTGCAAGTGGCAGTATTGAGGAATGGGCAACGTGTAGGCTCATGCTTGGCAAGCTCAGGGAGAATTGCACAATCGAGTCTTTCACCGAGATCGCCTCAGTTCCGTGCGGCTGGCTGCGGGCATAACATGCCCCCGCAAATTGTAATTCTCCAACAGCTTTCCACAACAGGAGGCGAAATCGACTATTTGTTGCGATTCCCCTCAGCTTGCCGATAAACTTGAGCCTGTCAAGCAACGATGATTGCTGCCAATAGTCAGTGAAAATCTCTATTTTGGTACTCTCTGGAAGAAACATCGAAGCGAGCAGGAAAGCTTGACCACAAAGGGAGTAGACAGCAGTGCCCAAGAACATACATGTCAATGTATGCATATGTCTAACAGCGTGCACGAAAAAGACAGCGTCCCGTGAGAGGGCATTGTTGTGGAAGTTCTCCAAGTCCTGGCAGAAGCTCTTCGTCGACACTTTTGTAAGTCTCCTGTGCAAAGCCGCTCTCTCAACCGGTGCCTCCTTCGTGAGCAAAACGGCTCGAGGAACCGCGACATGGGGGCGGGTTGGTCCGTTTCTGCCTTGACAAATCATCGGTGCATGGGACTTCCCTTAAGACTACCTCGCCAACCTCAACATGCTCTGCAGTGTGCCATACATGCATAATGTAGAGTCATCCGTTCAATGCTCGACATTCTCAAAGCTCGCACGGCGCCCTGGAGTTATGTCCGACCCACTAGTGCTAATCAAAGAGAACTTCCAAAACCACAATTTAGGAGAACAATAGGAAAATATAGGAACTCCAGGTTTGCAGGGAATACGAAAAATAGGAAAAAGAAGGAAAAATAGGAGAAACATAAGCACAGAATTAAAAAAATAGTAATAAAATAGGGAAAAAAGGACGAACGCAGATGAAAAAAATAGGGAAAACCTAAGAATAAAATAAGGAAACCATCGGAAATGCAGGGAAAACACTAGGAAAAGTATGAAAAACGCAGGACCGCAGAGTAGAAAGGAACTCGGGAAGAGCATGTTTCTCCTATTTTTCTCCTATTTTTCCTCCTATTTCATTTCTTGATTTCCAAAAACTTTTCCAAAAAACCAGGATTCCTGTTGTTTTTCCTATGTTTATCCTATGTTGGTCCATTTGCGATCTGACCAGAGTTAGCACAAGAGTCGGACATAACCTTGGAGCCTTTTCAGTTCTAGTCCACCCACCAGAAGCTGGAGCAAGGAGCTTGCAAGGAACGCAGCACGACGAACGCCGCTGGTGCTGGTGCTGGTGCTGTTGCTGCTGCCGGTGCCTGCTGCCTGCTGCTGGTAGCCAAGGAAGGGGAACGATGGCGGCGGTGGTAGCGGTGGTGGCTGTAGTGGCGGTGGTGGCGTGGCGGGTAGCGGTCGTGGCGGGCACTGGTGGGTGGTGGTGGTGATCAACTTCGGACTGCTGCTTCCGAGCAGATGACCGGGCACAATACAAAGCAACCAAGAAGTTGCCGCAGCATCCACACAGTTGTCCAGGAATCTGCATGAGTTTGCAGCGTTCAGTAGCGAAAACAGCAAACAAATAGTAACAACAACGGCCACCGTCGCAATCACCCTCAGGCCTTTAGAGGCCATTAGTGGCAGAAGAGCTCCTGACACGCGTGCAATGGACCCGGCTACACAACGAATGCGCAATCTCTGGGAAGGCTGTATGCGATTGATCGCAAAAGTGGCCTCTGCCATCGCCGCCTGTCTCACGATGCAGGTGCCATGGCAGTGCAGCTACAGGTCTTAGGAGCTCACATTATGCTACATGGGCTGGGATGGGATGGCTTGATCTTTAACTTGCTCCAAGGTGATGGCAGATGACCCAATACGAGCCCATGGTCGTTGCGCGGCTCAGCACCATGAACGCCAACCCGGACACAGGCTCCACACCTTGGCATTCGGTCTTGAGTCGGCAATCCTCACATTTTGCTCGTGAAACTGCAAATTGGTTGTGAAACTCGTGGAGGCCAAGGCTTCGCCCTCCACTGGTGACAAGTGCTTCAACCAGGGTCAGATCACAATGGAAACTTAGCTGACATTCAGCTTTTCGCCGTAGAAAACAGCTTATAATCCACAAAACATGAAGGCCCAAATAGCCCTGGTGAGCGCGCATAGCTTGATGAAGGAAAGCACGCATGGGAAGTGCCTATCCAACCGCTGGGACGAAGCCGAGCTCCTGCAAAGACCCGTGGCCAAGTGCGGGATCATGTCACGTCCTATGCGGGAAAAAAGGTCCTCCGGAGGCACACCGTACTCTGCCATCTTTGACTCGTAGGTCTTGACCTTCCCGCGCCAGGACTTGTAGAAGCGCGCTGCCGCCCAGAAAAATCGACAGTGTAGGCCAAGGCAAGAGCCATTGTTGAGTGCGAGTCCCTGATGCGTTGCACTTCCTCCTGTGAGAATCCGACACTTCGCTTTGAAGCGTCGCTTCTAATGCCCCTTGAACGGCATCCTCCAGCTGGGAGACGATGTCGTCCTTGTAGGCAATCACCTAGACAGGGTTACAGCTTAGCATCTCGAGAGTCTGAAACTGGGTGATGATTCCCGCCTGATCCAGCTTCTGAGTGATGCCAGCACTTGTTGTCGGATCAACCTTGGTGTGGCAAGGACTTGGCTAGTTGCACAGGCAGCTTCGGGCTGTGCCCAACAGGCAAAAGATGATGACAATCGTATCACCAGAAGCTGGTAACGCTTCAGACACAGACCTTCTCGCAGCTCTTTACGAAACCGTCACGAAAGTCTTCGATTTCCTGAAGTCTCGCGAAGTTTGGCCGTTTCTGGCTCCGATCTTTCTCGTGGAAGACGATACTCGCTTCTTGATGGTGGCAGCACACTCCCCTCACAGGCTGTCGCCATCACAAGCCCAACAGCTCGGGGGCTGGAGTGCAAGATCCTTTGCACCTGAACAGCCCCACGATTATATCCTGGAGTCTATATAATATGACCTCTCTCTTTCAGGATGTTGAGGCGAAAGATTGTGGAAGACGAACTTCGAGACAGCTGCGAGTGCCCCGCGCATCACGATCTGCCGAGGATCCCGCGGTTTGAAATCAGGCATTACTGGGTTTCGGCTTGGGAAGTGCAAATCTTGCCAGCCATGAGTCTCGTGTAGCCATCAATTGGTCAGCCTCTGCGAATCAACCTTCTGCGTATGCCTTCTCGAATTCGGCTAATACCTTCACCCGACGGAAGGGCGGCGACCACTGGCAACCATCGGGTCTAAAAACGGTGCCATGCCGAAATCCCGGGCGTACCGCAGAATTTGGAGAAGACTGCGACGCAGGTAGTACAACAAACAGAATTCTGTCGAAAGCCGTGCAGACTAACATCGAGGTTCCTGCAGTAGCAAAACGAAAGGGATTTAAGGGACTCCGATGGAGCAAGGTTCGTCCCCGTTGCAGCCACCGCAACCAGATTCTCCCTTCAAAGAAGTTTGCGCTGAAGGACCATCTTACAATCAAGGCTCAAGCGACCTAGAAGCCACACATCTTCGAAACAAGCGGGATGCAGAATCCACGGCTCGCTCTCAGGCTTCGTATCAGCCAGGGACCAGTGATCCGGAGTAACGTGTCAAAGCATGTCTTCCCAGAGCTGGCCTATTGCCCCTTGAGTGCATTGAACCAGGTATTATATTATACTATAGTATTATCTCATAATATAATATAGTATAACATAACATAATATAATATAATATAATATAATATAATATAATATAATATAACACTGATGTCTGAAGAGTCTCATGTCTGGCTTTCACACGAACCTCCACACGTGAAAAGTCTGAATCCGCACCTGTGAATCGTGCTGCTATGTGTGAAGTCTCATGTCCCTCAAACCTCAATGAACTCCTAGTCCTAGCGGAGCGCCCCAAAGCCGGAACGCCAGATGTGCAAAGCAGCAAACCCTCAGCTCGAGACGTGACGTGGCAAACTCTAGACCCCAAAAGGTATGCCAAACCCTGAAACCTAACAACCCAAACCTTAAAGTCTGAAACCATAAAGCCTACAAGGGCATCAAACCCGAAACCAGACAACGTTAAACCTGCAGACCCCCAGAAGAAGAAACCCGCAAAGGACTGGCAGACCCTGGCCCTACGTGGACCAGCAGTCCAAAACGAGTGGAGACTGTGAAGTAACAGAGATGATGCACGGCTTTGCACCAAAAACAGCCTTCTGAATAGCTGTTGAGGGATCCGTAAATGAGTCTGGCGGATGGCGGATGGACGGCAAGCCCAAGAGGAAACACCGGTTAACGCGGCTGAGCTGAGGCTAAACCCTGAACGGTAGACTCTTAGACCCTTAAACCCTAAACCCTGTTTTTTACACCTTAAACCCTTAAACCCTGAAACCTTAAACCCTTAATAAACCCTAAACCCTAGACAGCTAAGAGTCTGGCATTGGCGGATGCCAGCAGCTCTGTAATTTGAGCTTCTGTTGTCTCCAGGGCCTGGCAAGGGTTCCACGCCGCACTAAAGTGCCCGGATGTGACGAGACCCTGACGGGGCCTCTTCTACGGTGTCAATCTTCTTCTCCAGGATGAGGTTCTTCAGACCACTCCTCTGCTGAACCTGCTGTTGAAGCAGAGCGGACGCCAAAGTCTGTGTGAAACCTCAACCGGGCACAAAAGTCTAAGCAGCAGTCATCGTAAATCGCTTGCTGGAACTTCGTGTAGAGGTCCTGCCCAGAGAGCCAAAGACACCTATATTTATTGTTGTAGTATTATTATTGCTATTATTATTATTGTATTAATACCATTATTATTATTGTTATTATTATTGTTGTTGTTATGATTCTTCAGTAGCAGCCTTGACTGGCACTTGAGTGCCACGAGGATGGCGAACTGCCGCTACTAGGGCAGGGGCCCGGCAGAAAAAGGCAACCGGCGACAGCGGAGTGTTTCACAACAAATTCACTGCTCTAGTCCTCCCGCTCTGATGTCACCTGGGACAGCTGCTGTTGTAGAACCTGCCGCGCCAGTCTGCTGCAGTGCTTAGGCTTAGACTGTTTCTCTGGTGGAACGGTGCAGCTGCAGGACGTACATGGGTGGGCGTCTAGTCTGGCACTGGCCTCGTGCTGAAATTCCATGCGCTTCAGGAGCCTGAGAATTAAATTTGACATCGTGAAAGAGAGCGGTACACCAGTCATATCTGAGACGAGTGACGTTTCGGACTGTTTGATCTGCTCTTTGACGGAAGTGAGGCGCTTCTTGTCCTTGGTGCCGATGCTTACCCCAAAAATGCTCCGTAGTGTTCGGTGGATCCACTTTTCTGCCACTGCCCTGCCCGCCTCCTCGTATGCAACCTGCTCCCGCTCTAGCCGTTCAACGTCCTGGCCACTCCAAGCCTCTTAGAGTTCTCTGCAAGCCAGAAGACACTACAGGCATCCCAGGCAGCAGCAAAGTCCTGGTTTGCCTTCTTCATCGGCTCCTTCAGCTGTTTGCTTCCTGGGTAATGCTACTCCAACAGCCCATCACTTGAGAATGGCGAGACATTGTATTTCCGAGGCATGTTCGCTGCTCGAGGTCATACATCTTCTTGGCATCGTCATTCTCATCTTTCTTGATGGATGCATAGTCCTCTCCCCAGGAGAAGCATCAAACAGGGAAGAGGAAAACTCGCGGGAACTAACTCAAACACTGGATGTATCGTCATGCAACAGACCGGACGTGATCAAAAGTTGACGACCAGCAAAGATGCAATTTGTCAGGCAATCTCCGTTGGTCCGGCTGCATCATGAAACACTGAAGTGCTCGTCAGCATGCTTGCAGCGTGCTCAGCACAAATGCCAACTCCGCATGCTTTGTGATGCCTCTTTCAGTCGCTTGATGGAGTCAAAGTTGGAAACTGTAATCTCTTGGTAGTACACCTGGTGGCAGGAGGACGACCAGCTTCGAGCACACGACTGCATTGAAAGTGCTCACTGTGCCTTGATCTCCGTGAAGTCCAAATTGTTCTTCTTCATAACCTGCGACGTGCACAGCCGGAAAGGGAGGCCCATATGGGCATCGTCCTGCCTGCTCGATCTGAGCATTTTTGGACCTGGATGAGTTTTACAAGTGGACGTCAAGACAGAAACGGCAGCCAAGATATGATCCTCCATCAAAAGTGATGAGGCTTGAACTCCTCGATCTTCTGAATCTGCTTGCGCCTCTGCTTCTCCTGATAAAAGGGAAAATGTCATTGGAGATTGCCGAAGTTACCGATACATGCTGCTATGTTTTTAAACTAAAACCCGAAACTGTTGTACTTGAGGGCAGCCGGCAGCAAAGCCAACGAATCCACACACATGCGAGATGAGCATGTGATTGGCCGCTGGCTTGCGCAAAACCTACACGTGGTTTGATCCAAGCATCCATTTCTTCGCGGATGGTCTTCATCCGCAGCTCGTACTTCTGCTGCATGTCGCGGGCCTTCCGATCAAACCTTGAGGCAGGTAAGAGATGTGAAACACCACAGATCCGGGATGAGACGGATATGGGATGGAAGTAGTTCGCTGCTAGATTGCAATACGTTACATTAACTCTGACAGGGAAAAACAGAAAACTACAGACGTGACCACCGAGCCAGGGCCATCACTCATGTCTGAGTTCCAAGATCTTCTGGTCCTTTGGTGCCGAGCATGCACATTGCAGTCATTTCAGCTCAGCTGGTGACGCCTTCTCACCATACCCGGCGCAACAAGAGGCACCCGTCCTGCTCCAACTTCAGCATACGAGTGAAGTCCTGCTGTGCCTGGTCGAAACCATGTAGGCAAGAAGTGTCCGAAGGAGACTGCTTGACAGTGACTTCCACACATGTTCGTACTGAGGCAGGTGCGACTTCAGATTCTTTCTTTTCCATCTTCAGCGCCCGTTGATCCTCTGCCGACCCACGTTTTGGACACACGCAGTAATCAGGAGAGTCTGCAAAAAATGCTCTGTCTGGTGTCTGACGTTGTTAGCAGTTTGGCGAAGGTCCTTCTTGATCTCAGCCTCTGTGATTCTATGATGATCCTCCTGGAGCTTCAGAGACAGCTCGGCGTCAGTCTTCAGCTCCACTACCTGTCACAACATGACCCCAACTCGGACAATCTTCGAGCGAAAGATCCAGGAAAAACCAGCCTCATCCTGCTGGTGATATCTTAAGTGCTTCAGCCTTTGCTGAAACATCTTCAGCCTGACAAGCACAAGCAGTTGTGAGACATTCCAGGTTCAGACATGATTCAGACGTGCAAAGGCCATGGCTCGATCTGCTGCCGCTCTTCGAGATCTTGCAGTTCTCGCTGTTTGTTTCGGAGGTCAGCCTGCGGCGGCCATCAGAAGGTAGGCATCTCCGCGCTGTGGCACATTGCGGCCATCTTCAATTCTTGGAGGCTGGCCTGCTTTTCTGTGAGGGTCTTCTTCTCCACGATCCAGAAGTAGTTTATCTTCTCTCTTTCCATCAGAAACTGGTGAAAGTGGTTCTCCTGGATCAGCACAGGGAATCTCTTCTCCATGGTGCCATCAGAGGATTCAGGATCCCCGTAGAACCGACTCAAAAAGGGAATGAAGCTGGAAGAAAATAATCGAGGTGGCATGCCACCATAAGTGTCCGAGCCTTCTCTCTCATGCATGCTCGTGAGAAACTCACAATCCAAAGTTACTCAGCAGGGGAAGAAAAGAAACTGTGTTGTTTCTGGGTTGCCGCCGGAAAATCTGCAGGAGTAAAAGAGAAATGCAAGCTGCTGCATGCAGCACCTGCACCGCAGCGTTGTTGATGACGGTAGGCTTTGTATAGCATTGTAGCTCGGCTTTGATGGAGTTCTGATAAGCTGTTGAACTGAACGGATCACAAGATCCCTCAACCCTGAACGAGAAGTAGCCCAGCATATCTTAGCCGTGGTGAAACCCAATTATGCTCGGGAGAGTCTCGTAACCCCTGTATACAGCTGACCGCTACTGCCCTCTGTCAGGCGTTGTCAGACGCACGTTCACGTTCTGCCAAACGAACTATGAAGCTGCCACATGATGCTGTGATGTGCCGCTTGCTCCGCTGAGCAACCCGGGGTCTGGTATCTTGTACAAACTACAAGCGTGTTGCACTAAACTCTGTTTGTAAAAAAGAAAAACGTTCGAGAGTTGCTTCTTGGAGTTGGTTGGGTCTGCACTTTCGACTGAAGACAGTGTTGCCAAAGACTCTGAAGTGTGTCGTGCGCAACCTTTGAGGATGCGGCCTCCTTGGTGCTTAAAGCCCAAAGTGAGCAAAAAAACTGCGAGCGGTGTTCACTTGATTCTCTGTTTTCGGTCATGCTGCGCACCCCAGTTCCAGGGAAGGAAGCACAAGGATCTCCTCACGCTCACAATTTTCTCGCAGGCGTTTGGCTTCCCTTATCATCTCCATCCTCGGTCGGAGACTTGGCATGGGTCCGCGGGATACTAGCGACTTTTTTGCCTTAAACTCCTGAGCCGGGCCACCGCTTCTTTTCTTCATTTTCTGCTGCTGCTTGCCTGGCTGCGGCCTGCCACAAGGCTTGCCGGCTCTTCCAGGACCCAGAGAAGCAGACTCTACGACGAGCCTCGGGATCCAGCGCCTTCTTCTTACCTCCTTTCTTCCCCATGGGCTCTGGGGCTCCTGAACTGCAACTGCTTCGAGCAGCGTGGAAAGAGGCCTCTTGACGCAAAGCAAGAAAGATGACATCATGGAAAGTAACGGGCCTGAGAGAACGAGCAGGATCGCCTGCCCTCTTACAGCTGAGCCGAAACAATCATCCGGATGAAGCATGACTTAGACGGTGCCAGAAACATATGATAACATATGAGTAGGAGAGCCTGAAGCATAGCTCAGCACACCTTTTAGACTGTTTTCGAGCTGTCTGGACCGAGGTATGCCGTGCTTGGGCTCCATGCATCGTCGCGGCCATGGTCTGTCTTGCTTCGACAGCGTAGTGCTCTCTCGGTGAAGCATCGGACAGGTGCTCGGACGAGACTCTCCGTGCGACACTCTCGGACTGTCTTTCGACGGTCTTCCGTCGTCTCCTTCGGCCAGCTGGACGTTCGCTCGACGAAGGGAAGATGAAGGCGATCTTCAGGCACAGCAGGCTCTTGCAAGCATGCGCAGACTATCTGAAGTAGCCAACAGAGGATGGCATCAGCGACTCGGGATCCATGCCTCACACCCGAAAGACTCAAAAGTCTGTCTCTAGGAGCGAAGGGTTGCTAAGACTCGCACGGATGGGCGGCCCTCGTGTCCCTAGTCGAAGATATGCTTCTTGAAAGTAAAGGTCCTGAAGCACGGCTTGGCTGCGGCTCAGAGATGTCAAAAGCAAGGGTCTGCCAGACCTTGCTCTCGCTGGGATTAGGACCTCGAGCTGAGACTGAACATGCAAGACCGGCTGTCTCAGATCTGCCACGGCTGCCACGAGACCCTGGCCTTTCCCTTTGATCAAGGGAGTGCCCGGCGGCTTACGCATCGCATCGGTTTGCTCGCCTCCGTGAATGCGCCGCTGTGCCGCAGGCCGCGGCTTCAAAGACCCCGGAAGAACCCTGGCCTGCTGTCGATGACCGGGGTCGGGCTCTCAGGAGAGTCTGCACCTTACAATGGCGACTTGGCGATGACACAGATCCGTTGCACTGCAGATCATGCAGTCAGCGTAGCACTAGAAATTTCAGGTTCTCCAAAATCTTGGCATCGGAGAAATTGGTGTCGGCAATGGTTGCCTGGTGCAGGCACTCTGGATGCAGCCTCATCAGGCCGCTGTTCAAAGCAGTGCTCGGAGCACCTTCACCTCGCCCTCGCCCTCTGCACGGTACTCCAACAGCGTCCCACCCTTGGCCTCCGCACTGCGGCCAGCGAAAAGAGCGCAAACTGTGCAACTAAGCTGACCGCTGACTGCCGACTCCGCTGAGACCGAAACCCCGCTTCTAGGCTCAGTTCTGCGGGTGCGAGCGATATCTTTTCAGTGTTCCAAGGGTCACAGAAAGCTAGCATCATCGGCATCACTGTCTCGTCGCTTCTCTCCGCACTCCTCTAAATGCCAGCTTGCAACACGGTCGTTGGATCTGTCATCAGCAAATTAGTGCACCCGTTAGCATATTTGGAGACTCACCTGGTCCTTCGCCAGCTAGGGCTACCAGTCAACGATGATGCTTTTGGTGCTGCCCCGGAGGCCCCCAGCATCATCAGCATCAGGGGGTCACCGTTTTGTCGTCTGCGTGCTGGGCTGCCAAGCGGCGGCGAGACGTTGGCATGATGTATAGGGTTTGAACAACTTGTTGGACGTTGTCACTAGTAGCTTTTCCGACGGGTTTATGTGGACACGCGGTCCGTGGCGACAAAGGTGTGGCGCAGCCAACGATCCTCATGCTGCTGGATCGCCGCTGCTTGTCATCTGTGGGCTGGGGGGGATATGGGGTGAGAAGTAGAAATGAGCAGTGCCATGAGATCAACGTTCTGTGCTTGCGAAGCTGCTTAGGTCGTGAATACTGTGGAAGCCCTTGCTTTCTTCGACAGGATCGATGATAAAGGGTTGCACAACTTGCGTGAGCCCGCGCAAGGCCCTCGAACTTTCTGTGCGAAACAACACCGTTTCAAGTGGTCGTGGGTCGCTGTTCAACTCTTGCACAGATCTCTTTCAAAAGGCTTCTTGCTCCGAATGCTTCAGGTTGCAATTACCGCCCTTGCCACAGCCTGCCTCTTTGATGGCGGCCTGCAGGTTTGTGACCACCGAGCCACTCTTTGGATTGGGGATCAGCTTCCTGCAACAGACACACCCTGTGAAGTCACAGAGAACAAGAGGTCTTCAGCAGTTCGGCACGGCCTGGGTCCTAGGATCTTGGCCACCGAAAGAACTCGCGGCCTGGGAAAGCAGGAGCTGCAGATGAGCAGATCAACGCTTCATTGGCGCCACACATAATGCTCGGGGTTGCCAAGCAACGGTCAAAGCCCAGCCAACCTGCCGCATTGAACTTCCATCTTCAGACCTTTCCAAGCGACAGCCTTGCCTTGGTTGATTCTTCTGAGCGGCTCCGTGATACCTCCGGCGGGGGACTTTCAGCTGCTAACTGTCGGCGGTGATTACGACTTCAAGGTGCTATTGCGATGTTGTTGCCGCGCTCTTGGACCCGAAACAGCAAGCCCACCTACCTGTTTCGTGAGCCGCACATAAACCCCGCCCGGCATGTCTGGATATGAGCAGCCACATAATGGATTGGTAAGATTGATGTTGATCCCAGCTTAAACTCAGGACTTCGAGAATGGACGGGAACAACAATCGGTTTCGCATACGATGCCGTGCTCCCCCAAAAGCAGAAATCAACGCTTGCCGGATCTGTAGAACACGAGAAGGAGAAGGCTGCCTGCAAAATCAGCCCCAGCTGCGAGCATCTCCTGGAAATTGCAGCTGGCATGGCCGAAGTGAGCTGCTGGACTGACCTCCACCTGTCCTCAACTTGATCGTCAGGACAGAATGCCAGGACTCTTACGTCGCGGCTGAGGCCATGTGGCCTTAGAATTCTGATTCGGAAGTCGGTTACCCCGCGAAACTGCATAGTGATACAGAGATGCCCATGAACTGTCATGTTTGACCTCAGCTGTTTCAAGGCTCCAGCAGGTGGCACGTGCCACGAACACTCTCACCTGGCCAGTCGTTTAGGGAAGCCCACCCAGAGCTCCAAAGCACACAGCCTGCCCTTTGTCTGAACATGCCGAGGAGACGAGTTAAATCGACCTGAAGCCTGGCAAAGAGGCTCAGAGTCTTCGTGATGGGCATTGGGAGCCTAGGCCTAGCCTGGTCCAAAATGTGACCAAGGAGTCCTCTTCTGGGAATACGTCGAAAGCGCGCATCAACCGGGTTGCCTCGCGAAGCAAAGGCTCTGACTCCCAGGAATGCTAGCGTACCCAGGCGAGCCTGAAACGGGCTTGTGCCGACCTGAGTCTGACACCACTTCTCGGGGGCTGGTGTATATGTATATGTACTTTTGTATACAGTATACGTCAAAGAAGATCAGGCAGCAGAAGCTTTAGATGGATTGTTTTGAAAATATACGGCCCCCCTGCCATGTGGTATAAGCCCTCTCTTTCGAAGTGGCGGAAGGGGCTGAATGGTCAACTTTATGAACTGGATTTCCTGTGGCAGCATGCCCGGACACTGTTGTCAGTTGCGGAAGGCGAAAGCTTATCACTGGCACTGAGTCTTGCCTCCTCTTGAAATGCATCCAATGAGGTACTGCTGAAAAGGCAAGCCGGGGTGAACTCCAAAGCGTGTGCGACATGAAGGAAGGAATGAACATGCGGGAAATTCGTCAAAGTCGTTTCTCCATGAGACAACACATTTCCCATGTGCCATGTTGTACTTTTTGTGCTCTTGGTCGACTCTGCGCGGCTGCCTGAGTAGAGTTGCTCCATGGCCCTTCGTTTTCACTTTCACGGTTGGTTCTGCAGCATCATTTCATACAGCCGAGCGTGAGCGCGACAACAATCCGATGACAGGATAGTTGCAGCTTGTTGGGTGGGACCATCTGACACAAGCTGAAATCACAAACTCGTATGCGCGTAGGTACGACCGCATGCATGCTGCAACCGTTTTGGGCCGACACCCGAACCTCAGATGCTTTCCGCACCGTGGTCCCTTCGGATGAAGCCGCCTCTGCAGCTGCGACCTTGGCTGCAGCCAGTGCAGAAGATCTCGAACTCCGCAGCGATCGGCCTTGGCTTCTTCCGCCTCCTTCTGCCGAATCTCGCGCAAGCGGTTTGCACGGTACCTGCATCAAAATACTTCCGTCTGTCCTAGTCTGCCTTCCGGATGCTGTGCCCTATTGTCTGACAGCGGAATACCCGTCATGGTCATGATCTGATACTGGGCTCGAGCATACGTCTACTCGTCAAATCAGCCCGAGTATTCCCCCGTAGCAGCAGACGTGGCGCACATGGAATGGAAGGGCTTCCATTTCTTGGTCCGCACCTAGCCAAGTGAAAGTTTTCAGAAGTCTCAAATCGAGTTTCCAAGGTCACGGCAGAGCCGGCGGCCACCGAAGGCAAGCCTCCGAGGCACCTGGGCTCGAATGCTCGACAGGCTGCGGGTTTTCCTGCTTTCCTCGTTGTTTCCATCTCAGCTTCCAACTTCCAAGGACTGACGAAAGGCGCTCTGAGGAGCTGCTGCTTCAGGCACTGCATTCCGCCTGTCACAAGCGGCTGAAGATGCTGGAAAAATCTCGAAGGCCTGGTTCGTCCATCCGACCCTCAGGTGCCCCCGGAGGAGGGATTGGGGACAGAGCCCGCAAGACTCTTGAGAACTGCACAGGGCTGCGGGGGCTGGACCTGGGACCTTACGGGAACCACTGCACGCGCGCAGATGTCAGGCAGCTTGTTTTGGCCGAAAAAGTCACAGAGAGAGTGATAGCTCCGTAGCTGCTTCGCAGGCTGGGGTTCAACGAACTTTGGGACATGAAGTTGCATGTGCCCGTTGGGCATTAACAGAATCTTGGCTCTAAGCGCGGCTTGTCAGCTTTTTTAGCCTCTGCGGCTCCAGGCTTTGTGGAGCCGGGAAGACTCAGGAGACGGCACTCCCGCTCATCGATGTGCGAAGTCGAGAGACTTCTTGAAGCACCTTGGTCACCAAATTGCCAGGAACTCATGCTACCATAGCAATCGCGAAGAGAAGACAAGCTTGCACTTCAGCATTGGTCTTCTTCTGCTCGCACGATTCCATGTCCGCTCTATGTGCGGATTTGCTTTACCGAAAGGCGCCATGATCAACCAGAATGCCGAGCATAAAGCTGCATTCTGAATCTCCTGCCGTAGGACCCGGGACCTGTGCACAGGAAAACTGCGGCCTTGTGAAGCGCGTAAGCAAGTCTAAACACACTCAGAATCTTGGCGCTTCACTGACTGGAGGCCCGGGTGAGGTTCGATCTACTCCCAGTGGAACGAGGCAAGGATGCCACAGATCGTTCGGATGCTCGTGATGCACCGGTCGCCTCCGCACTGTGAAATCACTGCGCACTCTTCCGAAAACTGTGAGTGTCGCACCGGAGGCAGCTGTGATCTGAAACTCGCCTGGCTGCACTGGTGGTGCACTCAACATCTGAGATATGTATGCCAGTCTGACAGTGCCTCCGATCCGTGAGACGGAGGTAGTGTCGAAACAGAAACTGCATCCTCTGCAGGTGGCTCCCTAGGCGCCAGGACGCCAGGATCGGATCCCTCTTCAGGAATGCAGCCCTGAATCACCGTCTGAGGCCGGGTTCCAGGCGCCCGCTTTTCAGCCGCGCCACCGATGGTGCCATGGCAGAAGTTGCCTGGTCCCTGGCCGAGGCCTCGACTTCGCAGTCACTTCAGCTGATGAGGGCGCTGGATAGGGACAGGGGAGGACGGAGGGCCCAAGCCTGCAGCACCCACGAGGGAGGGAGCGAAGGTGGAGAAGACCCGCTCTGGCGGCTTCATGACTGGCGAGAGAGCATCATCGAAGCAGAGATTCTGGGCTCCAATGCCATGCTTGGGCCTGGAGGCAGCGACTGCATCCGCACTGGCTTGTGGTAGGGCGGCTTCACATTCGACTTCCACGAGTGCGAGCGAAACGTCTCCTGCCGAGAGGCAAGCAGTCACGAAACCATGGCAGGCAGCATCCCCAAGCTCCGACATCTTCTCAAGAGTTGTTCCTGAGGTGTCGGAAAAGCCAACAGGCACTGGCTGACTGTGAAGCTCAGACCCCTGCCATAATAGTGGGCCAAGGCTTCTGCCTCAGCCTGCATCGGAAAGCGCAAAAGAGTTGAGACGCAACCTACAAGCCAATGGATGTTCAATCTTGCTAGAGGACACGTACCCCTGCAGGATCCAACTGACCCGCACCTTCTGCTCTTTCAAGATCTGCTCCTGTCGCTGAGCAGCCATCGGATGTGCCGTCGCGCCTCATTTACAGGGACGCTTCTCGATCCAACATGCAGTACCGCAGTAGGCATTCAGGTGCCGGCCCATGTCTACACCTAGGCTCGCAAGCAGTGCCATGAAACTCGCATGAAGATCAAGGGCTGCGACGTGTCCGGATCATGCTTCAAAACGATGCAGATGGACCACACTTTGCTACTCTCGAGCTCCCGCCAGTGCACCGCCTTGAGCCTGTGCTGGCTGCATCCAAGCACGGATCTTGCTGTTGAAACGGCCATCGGAAAGATAAAAGGTCAAGCAAACCGTCAATTGGTCTCTCATCTCCACTCCTGACTCGGCTGTGCGGTGTAGAAAAGGCTTCTGGTGAGACAGTGCAGCGAAGCCTGGTGTTCTGAAGCAAGACTGAGCAGAAGCTTGAGATGCTAGAAAGAACACGACAAGAAGGGGAACAAACTGTGCTGGCTTCTGCAGCACTCGAAGTAGAAAGCAGCCGAGGGGCAGGGTGTGTTACCCTGCCGGAGCTGGGTTCAGCAACCAGGCACTCGCCACCTGCAGAATCTTCCCCCGAAAGGTGTGCGGCTTACATGGCTTACGCAGGCGGACGCTCCCCTAAACCCTAAACCCTAAACCTTAAGCCCTAAACCCTCCATCTTCGCGAATGCGAAACCAGCAGTGGTACTGGACAGGCTCAGGCTCGGCTCGGGCTCGGCTCGGGCTCGGGCGTCTGGACATCCCAGTACTGTGATGACCGGCTTACGGTGCTTCTTTTTTTGTCACGGCTTCCATTTCCGTTGGCTCTCTTTCTCTCTTTTACTATAATATACTATGACTCTAATATAATCTACTAAAATATACTAGAATATACTAGAATATACTAGAATATACTAGAATATACTAGAATATACTATAATATACTATAACAAACTTTAATATACTAGAATATACTGCTCTTTGCTGCTTTCTCTTCTCGGCTCGGCACCTCCCGCAGGGAGGCGCTGGCGGCGCCCAGCGCCTCTCCGAGGCTGCCGTCTCCTCAGCGGAGCGGCAGAGCGGCGCGGTGCCCCGGCTCCCCGGCTCCTCCCCATAGTAGTAGTAGTTGTAGTAGTAG